AGTAAAAAGATAAATTGCCATTGTTTTACATTCATCTTAACAATGAGAGTCTTGTTATTGGTATCTATTTTACATCTCACTTCATCACATTTCAGATCTATGAGTCAACTTTTTTGGTTATTTTTGTTGTTGTGTTGTCAGGTTAGATAGTTGATTGTTAAGGAATGATGTTTGCTTTACATCCAGTGGCAAATATTTCATCGATGTTCAGGGTGATGTTGCGTTATGATCACTTTTTCTAAGTATTCAAATCTATTCAATGCAATATGCCACTAAGTCAATCTAAGGAAATTATTATAATTTTTTTACTCGATTAATTGAAATATGAAACTTTAATTTCAAAACAACAAAAAGTTATTATTAAAATATAAAAATACTTTTCACATTCCTACTAACCTCAGGCAACTCTTGTAAAAATCTTTGAATCATGCTAAATCATGCAAGCAAACAGACTAAAATATTCATGTAAACATTATACAAAACAGATAAAACATGCAAAAACAATCACAACTTTCAAACAAAGGAAAAGGAATAATTTAAACAATAAGATATGATAGTTTCATTGACAAAAGCAATTAAAGTAATACAGTAGTAATTAATACATTACTATTTTTTTTAATTGATAACAAGTATTGGACCAGTTAAATTATACAAGTTTACAGCTGGTTTTGAACTCACTTTGAAACACATTAAAATTACAATTCAATATTTAGTATATATATTGTCGATAAGAGTGATACTTTGCTGATATGAACATTTATCATATACTTGTAGAAAATAATGGTATAATTGTACCCTATGATAAATTTAATTTGTAGATATAATTATTCATTAAATTTGAGGAATTGTCTTAGCCGTGTGATAGTATGACTTTTGTTATCAACTGCTTCCGGTTTATATCAACTGCTTCCGTTTTATATCAACTGCTTCCAGTTATTATTATAAAAGAATATTAGGGATCAGGAAAATATCTTATTAAAAAATGCAATTCAAATATTACATCAAATGCATTTTTTCAAATGCAAAGTTTAAAAAATAGTTGTTGTCTGTATGTCTTCTGGAAGTATATGATAAAAAGAACATAACATGTCATTTTTCATATCAGACCCCTTATCAGCCCTAGGTCATGATATCAGTCCGAGAGCCAACAATATTTTGCAGTAAAAGGGCATTTTTTTTATAATATTAAATGAAACTAATAAAATTCCTTCAGTATGCATATACACTGTATACATGGTATATAATACATGATAAATATATACAGTAATCAAATAGAAAAAAGTATGTTCATACTTTAAGCCTGCGCATGTCAAAGAGATGCATGCTTACAGATATCATATCGGTAATAAATTGTTATAAATGGTTATATTCAAGTGATTTAAGTTTCAAACTGTACTAACATGACTACCAAAAGATAGTGTGGTTGAACATCTGAAACAATCAAAATTTTTTTTTTTAATTTTATAATTTATAAGTTTGTTTTTTTTTTTAGAATATTTAGAGGTACATTACTATTGCAGTAATTAAATGTGTCTATGCTAAAAGTACAATAAAAGTGACTGACATGGCATAATCTCATATCTGTTCAATGTACTAGAATAAGAAAATATGATTCAATTATTATTTGCCAGTAAATTTCACATCTTGTGTCATGTATATCTGGCATATATATAAAATATATATACCCGGTATACATTATAAATAATTAAATCAAAGAAATAATATTCAAATGTAACAAAAACTCAATTATTCTGCAAAAATAAACTAGTTGAAACTTGAGATGTATTTCATGAGTAAACCTTGAAATCTGGAAACTTTATAACATGTCTAATTCTTAGTTTTGCCGGACAATTTTTCTTCTTGGTTGGTTGGACTAGTCTCCTATTTCTTCTAAAATCATGATCTCCCTGTAATGATCAGAAAGAAAGAAAAAATTTAAACATACATTTATGGTGTCAAATTCATTTTTTAAATGTGATGACAATCATTACAAGTGAACAAATTAGAACTTTGCATTCAAAGTCCATTATGAACAATAAGAGAAGTATTGTATTTTTCAAACACATGTATATAATGTACATGTATACATGTATATAATGTACATGTATACATGTATATTGAAAAAGATGAAATGAATGTGTGCTTTTTTACCAAGTATCATTAATACATTTAATATTGTTAATAATAAGTTTCTGAACGATTTCTAAATAACCACTCTTAGTATGGTCGGATTGCCATGTTTGCTGTTTGGAAATATAGAATATTGTTAATTAATCATAAAATTACAATCGCTATGGCTCAAAATTGTAGTCAATTAACTCCGACCTTTTTTAGATCAGGGCCTTATTATATATAAATCAGCTATTCATGTTCATGTATAAAATGTAGGTTGATGTGATTCAACTTTAGTGAGGACTTTAATTTGTTACATGTACTATCCAAAAATCTGTACTAACGATCTGTTTACATACATCATTATAACATGTACAAAAATTAATGTCTTTTGACCAATAGTCTTAAAACTTTTCCAGATGCACAGGCTTGTCTGTACTCCTAGTAAATTTTTAGTCGAAAATGCAGCCATCATAGGCGGATCCAGGGGGCCCTGGAGAGCCTCCCCCCCCCCCCCCCCCCCTTTCGTGGGAAATATTTGGTCGATTATATAGGGAATCACTGAAACATGACTGGAGCGGGCCCCCCCTTATGAAAAGTTCTGGATCCGCCACTGGCCATTTTAGCCAAAGGGTCCACATGAACTTCAATATAGGACTTGTAGGATGGATTGATTGAATGGCCATGATGGCAGTATTCTGACTTGATATCTTATTAATAATTACATTTTTCTGTTTCTCAATCTTGCGTTTTTCTTTTCGGTGGCCATCCCTGTCAATGCCCTGGTGACATTCTAACAGCTTCCTTCCTACCACTACAAAAGGAATTCCATCACAAGGAATGATAGGAACTGAATCTGGCTGAGGATCTTGAAACCGTATTTTCTTCACTAGAAGAGACAAATCTACAAAACAAATAAAGCCTGAATGAATATGTAGCAGAATATTGATCTGGATGCAGATATTTTCAATCCTATTTTCTAAATCATCAAATGTAGACTGTAGTTTGATATTATAATTTGGGATAAATCCTACTTTGTAAAGATTCACTCTGATTCAAACAAAAAATTCTCTGAAACTGACATTATCAAGATGCTTGATTTCTTGATTGACAACATATTTGTTACGTTTGGAGGACGTGTTTTTCAACAGACTGTCGGAATTCAAATGGGAACCAAATGTGCCCCTCTTCTTGCCAACTTGTTTCTTTATTATTATGAGGCTGACTTCATACGGGAACTTCTTAGGAAGAAAGATAAGAAGTAAGCAATATCCTTTAACTTTACGTTCCGCTATATAGATGATGTTCTCTCACTAAATAATACAAAATTTGGTGACTATGTTGAACGAATCTATCCCATCGAACTAGAGATAAAGGATACTACAGATACAGTTAAGTCTACCTCATACCTTGACTTACATCTAGAAATTGACAATGAGGGTCAGTTGAAAACAAAACTTTACAACAAAAGAGATAATTTCAGCATCCCAATTGTGAACTTTCCATTTCTTTGTAGCAACATTCCAGCAGTGCCTGCATACGGAGTATATATCTCCCAATTGATATGATATTCCCGGGCTTATATTTCCTATCATGATTTCCTTGATAGAGGATTGCTGCTCACAAGGAAGCTATTAAACCAAGAGTTCCAAATAGTGAAGTTGAAATCATCCCTTTGTAAATTTTACGGACGCCATCAAGAGTTGGTTGGCCGTTACGGAATAACCGTTTTACAGATGATATCGGATATGTTCCTTATGTCGTAACTACAGTACCCTTCCCTTTTCACGAATGTGACCTACCGAATTAGACTATTTACAGGATTTGTAATAACATAAGCAACACTATGGGTGCCAAATGTGGAGCAGGATCTGCTTACCCTTCCGGAGCACCTGAGATCACCCCCAGTTTTTGGTGGGGTTCGTGTTGCTTAGTCTTTAGTTTTCTATGTTGTGTCATCTTTACTATTATTTGTCTGTTTGTCTTTTTATTTTTGGCCATGGCGTTGTTTGTTTGTTTTTCGATCTATGAGTTTGACTGTCCCTCTGGTGTCTTTCGTCCCTCTTTTGTAGGCATTATCCACTGCATTTATTCACGTCCTTTAGTCAAGATCCTTTTTTGTAAAATTAATTAAGGATACTGTTTCTTGAAAAACATTAACTGAAGTTCACGTATTTTCTTGTGAAATAATCCCCCCCCCCCCCCCTTTTTACTAATACTATAGACCATGTATCGATACCTTTTCCGTCATTTCCGTAGTTGATATCCTTTTTAACCACTCGGAATTTAGCATGATTCTCTATTTCATAATTTTGTATTGTTTGATATACATCAGATACAGATTTTACTGAAATTTCTGTCATTTTCGCTTTTCTATTTGTCTATATAATTTCTAACCCGAATAATTCAGTCCCTCCCCGTAATCGATCTCTCCTACTTGCGAGTAATCATAGATCAGCGGAATATAACGACTGAATTATTCGGGTTATATAATTTCGTATTTTCTATTCTTCCCGCAAAAAGAAAATAAAGAACCTCCAATCCAAGAGAGCTGAAAAAAATAAATATAAAAGTCAAAAACGGTAAATCATCCGGAATCTGGCTAGCTGCCATAGGATCTAAGGTCCACCATATGTGTAATTTCTAGGCCACTTAAGGTCAAGGTCAAAAGATAAATTCTGTCGCGTTCGATTTGCTATTTTCTATTTTAACCAGGGAAATAGTTTATTCACATAAAAAATCATGCATATATTATAATCTTTCTGATTTTATATATTAATTTGATGGTAGATTTTGGTTATTTTGAGAATCAGAAAAAAAAGAAAAGACAACTTAATGGTTTCTGCACTAACTCATAAACTAATCAAACAGACTATTGACAACTTCCGGTGACCGAAAAAGAAAGTTGATAATCAATAACTTTTTGAGTCGGTTTTGACGAGTGTATCTAATATGGGGAGAACGGCAACACTCGCCACATGCACATTGAATCAATGGGCAATGGATTTTGAAGGGAATTTGTCAAGAATAATAGAAAGTACGAAACACGTTAAAAAAAGGGCTGATCATAAAATTTCTGTACATTTCTTTTCTTAAAAAAAATATGCAGATTTTCACCCCCTTGAAAACAGAATGAATGCTATAGAATATCAGAGTGACACATCTTTCTAAGTTTCATAATAAGTTCTTCCTAGGTTACATTTATAAACTGTAAGTGAACATCAACTTTGCCAGTTTGTAAAATATGTTGCCAATGACAATGTTGGTGGTATCTCAGAAATCTCATTTTAAAACCTCATTATACTCCTTGTTACTATATAAAAATGTTATCAAAGACTTTAATTTAGGATTATGTGTTATTTTAACTTGTAGATATCCATGACCTTTTTTACGATGGTGGTGCGCCATCATAAAAAAGGTCATGGATATCTACAAGTTAAAATAACACATAATCCTAAATTAAAGTCTTTGATAACATTTTTATATAGTACCACCATTGTAAACTTATCATTCGCCATCGTTAAATGATCCCCACCATTGTTGAATAACTGCGCTATGGTTTAAAGGTCCACAGTACTCATACAGAAGGTGAAGTCAAAATATGTTTTTTTGTTAGCAATTATAATCAATTGCATGTAACTGCATAACCCCTATTGTATTATAATCCAAACATGCCAACGGCTCTTCCTGATTACAGTTTTAAAACCCTGAGGGATATCTGAATAATGACCGCTAATCACTTGTAGAGGTAGATCTACACCTGAAATGAGGAAAAATGATCAAGATAGACCATTTATTAACATTTAATAACACTTTTAGATATTTAGATGATATATTGGCTCTCAATAATGACGACTTCAGTATGTACACTAAAGAGATTTATCCTGCCAAACTGACTTTAAATAAAGCTAATACTAACAATGAACACTGTCCTTTCCTGGATCTTGATATCTTTATCTTTAACGGGAAACTAAATACCAAAATTTATGATAAAAGAGATGATTTTTCATTTCCTATTGTTAATTATCCATTTTTAGATAGTGACGTTCCCTTGTCACCATCTTATGGTGTTTATATATCTCAACTTGTTCGATTTGCTCGTGTATGTAACAACGTATTTGATTTCAACAAAAGAAATCTCTGTAGTACTGAAAAATTATTACACCAGGGTTTTCGATATCACAAACTAGTCAAAACATTTACTAAATTTTATCATCAGTACAAGGACATCATTCGTAAATATAAATCAACATGCAGACATCTAATACGTTCAGGTATTTCACATCCAATATTTTATGGTAATATTCTTTACAAAGCACAAAAATGTCGGCATTCACATCAAAAGCTAACCAAACCTTTAAACAGACTTATTCGGAAAGGATATAGTTACGATACTGTTGTCATGTCATTAAGGATTGCATATTTTGGTATTTATATTGATTCACTCATAGGGTCTTTGTATCGGAAATAAACACGTTTATTCTAAAACCAGTTGTTGGCATGATACAGGTTATGTTCTTCTCATATATTTTATGATGGTATGATACTAAACCCCTAAAGGGAGGGATTGTACTTGATTTTCATATGATGAAGACATAATCTTTCTATCAGTTTAATTGAGGTTTGGAGCTGGCATGTCAGTAACTGCTAGTAGTCCTTTGTTCATTTATGTATCATTGTCATTTTGCTTAGTTTCTTTTGTTACCTATTCTGACATCGGACTCAGACTTCTTTTAAACTGAGTTTTACTGTATGTATTGCTATGTGTTTCTTTTTTCTACATTGACTAGAGGTATAGGGGGAGGGTTGAGATCTCACAAAACATGTTTAACCCCACCACATTTTTGCGCCTGTCCCAAGTCAGGAACCTCTGGCCTTTGTAAGTCTTGTATGTTTTTTTAATTTGAGTTCATTTATATGTTTTGGAGTTTAGTGTGACCTCCATTTTCACTGAACTAGCACACAATTTTATTTAGGGGCCAGCTGAGGACCACCTCCGGGTGCGGGATTTTCTCGCTGCATTGAAGACCCATTGGTGGCCTTCAGCTGTTGTCTGTTCTTTGGTCGGGTTGCTGTCTCTTTGACATATTCCCCATTTCCATTCTCAATTTTATTGCATTATGTAATTACGTTACACAAAAAAATAAAAATTTTAAATCCAGTTTCGAAGAAAAAAGTTTTAACATGTCGAACACGTTCTTTTATTGACTTGCGCAATCAACATCTCTCTTTTTAAACAAGTACAAAATCAGATGTTTATCAGAACATAGTTTTATGCCAAATAACATCATGAACATGAGTACAACAATTATTGATAATATTGAATAACTTTACAAATATAAAGTAAATACATGAATATTAACTGCAACTTGATAATTTGAAGAAGTTTCATATCCATATTCTGAATCCATTTCATAGTTTACAATCAAATTAACACAAATGGTTCACATTCAGAATCAAAAGATGCATGCTGCTTAGTCTATTGCTATGGAATTTAAAGTCATTAAAACCATTTTAAATCATTTCAGTTGTAAATGTTTGCCCTCAAATCTTTATTCAATGTTTTACAAAACGGGTACGAAACTTCTTGTTCTTGATGCTGCAAATCTTCGATCCCTGTTCGTGACTTCTGAATTTGACAGTGAAAAAAAAGATTTTTAAGTCCTAAACAATAACCAAAATATCTAGAAAACGATTTTTGAACTTTGAGGAAAGGTTGTGGTCATTCATGACTAAGGGGAGCCATGCAGACTTGACATTGTAACAAATGACAATTAACAAAATTTTGGTTATATTCGATAACAAAATAAATATAATAAACAATATATCAGTCTGTTCACTATTCCTTACAATGAAATGGAAGAATGAAATACTTTCATTCATGACTCATGGGGTTTTGTCCTGGTGAAAGTTCCTCCATCGTTAAATTTTCATCCATGGAGGTCCCTGGAAATAGGGATTTGACATCAGAAAAATTATGTTTGTTGCCTGTTTGCACTTTGCATTACTGTGAATATGAGGGGAAGAGGACTAAGTCTGTATGATTTACATGGTAATCAGCTAGATATACAAATTATTGGGAATCGCATGTTTTACAACATGTCCACCTCCATCTTTGTAATGCCCAAGTGGAAATGATGTAAAAAATAATGATTTTGGATATACCGGAAAATTGATAATTATACTATATAGATGACGTTTGAATTTCGGTGGTGTCACTTTTACTGTTCTTGAGTTATGCCCCTTTACAAATGGAAGTTGCCTTGACCAAATGTTATGAAACTTATACACAACACTTATCACCACAAAACTCAGATCAAGTACAAATTTGGGTAGCTTCACTTTTACTGTTCTTCAGTTATGTCCCTTTATAACTTTACATGATATGCAAGCGGGGGCATCTTCTGTGTCCCATGGACACATTCCCCATTTATTTTCCTTTAGTCTTAATTTAGATGTTAATATTTCCAGGTATTCAAAAGGCCAAAGAGCTTGGTGCAACTTACAGATTAGGACCTGAACTGGAGATAACGTAAGTATAATATGACACAGAACAATCCCAAAATTGTTATTATAAAAAATGTATGACCATTGACCCAGAAGTTTACCATCAGGGACATGAGGTAATTGAAGTTTTTTTACCGGGATTGTGGTACACATTGTAGACCAAAATCAACACTTCTACCATTTATTCTCCCTTCTGGAGCACTGCTGCATACATGTAATAACATTTGAGTACAAGAAAGGGCCTAGTGGTCCAGTACTAGTAAATTTCAGACATTGACAATTTTTCTCACAGAAATTTTTAACAAGAATTCCTTTTGAAAATAGAAATAAAAAAAAAAATATATCAAAAGTAATGTTTAGAACCACAGACTTGTGTTTGTCTTATAAACACTGAAAAGCGGTTTCAAAGTGTGGGGATTTTTCGTGAAGTTCTATGGGTAAAAGGACAAGTGACTGTCACTTATCAGTCAACAAAATAATAGAAATTGAATTTTTATCTGAACATGTTATATTTTGCTATTTTGTGGCAAGAAAGAATAAACAGATAAAGGTTTGTGTCAAATGAACCAAAACTTTCGTCATTCCAAATTTCTGTTCATAAATTTTTGAATATGTCTTCTTCTGTTGAATAAACTTGAGCTGATTATTCGTGTCAAAGACATTTTTAATCTTAACTATGCTTTGATATTACTTTGTCACTAAACAGAATGTTTTCTAAGATCAAGGACATCATAAAGTTATGGCATCATTTACCTGCACATGTACAAAGTATCTTCAAAAAGTTGAAAAATAAAAAAATCAGCTTTTCATTGTCTTAATCATGTTAATTGGATCAAAGAAAACACAGTTTCTAGTAAGGAAATAGAAATATTTGTATAAAGATAATAGCAGCAATTGTTTTTGTAGAGGATATGGATGTGCAGACCATTTTCTGGAGAGTGATACATTCTTACACTCGTGGCAGAGTTTGGGTCAGATTCTCACTAATCCAGTTACCCAGGATATTCTTTGTGATGTTGGAATGTAAGTTTTTACACAGAGTACCTTTGTGATGTTGGAAAGTAAGTTTTTACACAGAGTACCTTTGTGATGTTGGAATGTAAGTTTTTACACAGAGTACCTTTGTGATGTTGGAATGTAAGTTTTTACACAGAGTACCTTTGTGATGTTGGAATGTAAGTTTTTATACAGAATACCTTTGTGATGTTGTGGTGATCCATCATATTAGAAAATCATTCAATTGAGGCAATCCAACTAAACAGTTGATAGAAAAGTTTCATAACCAATAATAATCAGTTGTAAATAAACACAAAACTTGAAATGGTTTCAGTATAAAATTGAGAATGGAAATGGGGAATATGTCAAAGAGACAACAACCTGACCAAAGAGCAGATAACAGTCGAAGGCCATCAATGGGTCTTCAACGCAGCGAGAAAATCCCGCACCCGGAGGTGGTCCTCAGCTGGCCCCTGAATAAAATTGTGTACTGGTTCAGTGAAAATGGACATCACACTAAACTCCAAAACATATAAAGGAACTAAAATTAAAAGTATACATATAAAACTGCTTCAATATGCTCTAAACCATCAAGCATATCTAGTGAACTTTAAAAGAATTTGTTTCCATTTGTACTTTTGTTACTAATGGATCTTTTCAAACACAACCAATTACATGATTGTTGATAGTCAATTGATTTGGCATAACCAATCATACCATTTATAACCAATCATCATTTGCATTTTTTTGCTGATTGAACAACACTAGTATCTTTGAGATAGTTTTGAGATATATCTTTATGACAACTGATCTTTGCAGCAATCCTTTATGAGGTGTAAATGCTGTTGGTTTCTAGTGATTTACTCAGAAATTTATTTACCCTAGATGTTATATGACAGACAGGGATGTTAATAAGTTTATCACTTATATATATTTGGATTAAAACATTGGGTTTTACATAAGTAATTATAAAAGAATTACCCTAGTCATATTTCAGCCCTAATCAAATATTTTGCCCTGTTCTCATTGAGATTATAAGGGTGCCTTACAACAATGGTGGACAAGGAAGATGCTTGTCAATGTTGAACAAAATAGAATATTTCATAATCATGATAAGTAAAGCAGCGGAGACATTTTAGTGTGTGCACTCTTGTTATGTTTTGCTTTTTACTTTGTTGGCATGGAGGTATGCACATTAAATCATTGATTCCTTGGAAACTTAGAAAAAATATATGAAGTAAGAAGGGAGGCTGACAGTGAATTGTGGGTATTCTTGTTAACATTGGACTTTTCCATTGTTGGCTGTTGGAATTCAGTTCTCAAAAAGTGCATTGTAGTATTTTTTATGTACATCAAAATATTATTTGTAGATGATAGACTTGACAGAATTTATAAAGGGTTACTAAGATAACAAATATTTATAAATGCAGAACATAGCTTCAAAATTTATAAATTTTCCTAGGTTTTGAAAATAGCTTTTTTTTGTCATCTTACAGTGTAGTCTAAGCTCTCTCTTTCTCTCCTGCAAATTCTTGCCAATGAAGTTACTGGAATTCATTAACTGTTAACATATCTAGACATTCCCCCATTGTTCTTGGTTTGTATCTTTTACATTTTCATCTTTTATGAGTAGATAAATCTGACAAATGTAAAAATAATTTTGCACTTAACATGTGACTTATATATCTATATGCAATTCTTTATTTTCAGGCCAGTGATGCATAAAAATATAGCTTACAACTGTCGTGTTTTCTTTCTGAACAAGTAAGTTATTTATGATAGTGAATAGTTGTTTTACTGGCAATTATACCACATCTTATTTCATACTGAAAGTTTATGATAGTTTTTTAAAAAGTGAATAATGTCAGTTGAATGTGGATTTAACCAAAATTTATTGATTTTGAGTGTTGAAATGAGAAAAGATAATTATATATTACCAGGCTTCTTACATGAAGATATTGTTAGATATTAACTCCTAGTCACAATATAAAGCTGTTTTGGCAAAGTTAGTGCTGCAAATGAGCTTAAAATGGTGAGAGAGAAAAATCACAGCATGACCAATTTATACAATTCTATAGTACACATACTGTTATCTGTTTATTTCATTTATTTCAGTGTTTTTTTTACTTGATCCAGTTATTTTAATGAGTTGGCATGTATCTTGCCCTGATAAGCATGATGAAGTCTAGGTTCAAACATATTGCCAATTTAAATCTTTTCAGTGCTGCAAAGCTGTAAAATTTGATTTGACAAAGAACGAGTGAAAATAATTATAGATGCAGGAAATGGGATAGTTATTTTTTTCTTCATTTTTAGCTGGCAAAAATATCTTTATTCTTCCCTTTTCCTTCACCATTCAATAATTTTTCTGGTCAAGTGGGAAACCTTTTCTCATAAAACTTGTGACAAAATGGTCTCAGTAACTAGGGTATGATTAGGCCATTTTTTATACGCCCGTTTACAGGACGTATTATGGTATACCGTTGACCGTCTGTCCGTCCGTCCGTCGTCAACATGTCGGACATTAATTCAAAAACGCTCTAATCAATATGCATGAAACTTTTGTGAATTGATTATATCTTTTGACATGAGCTCCCTTTCGTTTTTTATAAATTTCAGATTTACCGTTTCCGAGTTTTGGGGTTTTATTCATTAAAAAAGGGGAAATTTTCCAGTTTTCAGACAACAACTCAAAAACAATTTCACCAATTTGCAAGAAACTTTTGTGAATTGTTTATTTCTATCGACATGAGCTCCCTTTTGATTTTTATAAATTTCAGACGATACGTTTCCAATTTATGGGGTTTTATTCATTACAAAAAGGGGGATTTTCAAGTTTTGGGACAATAACTCAAAAATGCTTTCAGCATTTATTATGAAACTTTGGTAAATTGTTTATATCTAATTTTGTAAGCTCCCTTTTGATTTTTATAAATTTTCGATTTTACATTTCCGATTTATAAGATTTTATTTGTTTATAGTCTGACAACAGATTTACTAAGTATGGCACAACAGCACAGTGTATTGCACAACAGCAAGAAATCTTTCATATAACCAATTTCAAGTTCTTTGACTACATTTATTCAGAAACCTATAATATATCAAATATTTAATTACAATCTAAATTCAGACCTGTATCAAGCTTGAATATTGTGTCCATTTTTGCCCCAACTGTTCAGGGTTGGACTTCTACGGGTGTATCCAGCTGCACTCAGTGAAGCAGTTTATTGGCCAATTGAATTTGAAAATCAAAAAATATTATAATTCTTCCAAATTATCTCCAGTTGTTGATTGTTCATAAGACATGTAAGATATTTTGTTGGACATTGGTACATTTATTTATATATTTAAATTTTGTCTTACCAATTTGCTTTTGGGCTTCAAACCTTTTGTTTTGTGATAAATATGGTCATCCCTTGGACTTCTCTCATTCCGGCAGTAGAATACTTGCTAATGTTGATCATCTGTTTGGTGGTGCCATATGTAGAAGTAAACATTCACTTCCGTTTGGAATAGGGACGTTTAATTTGATACTTCTTGTATTACATGTCACAAGTAATTTTTCTGCACTTAAGTTTCCAGATTCTATTTACTGGTTTATTTATCAATACAATTAACATAATTTTGAAAGAGTTGCATAAGTTGACAATTTTTGCAATTTCAGGGAGCAAATATAATAATCTATTATCATACTTCCTCCTTTTATTTGAAGGAAAGTTTTACTGATTCGACCAAAGATGGCACTGGCAAATGATGGCAACTACAGAGAACCAAGATGGTTTACAGCATGGGGTAAACATAAACAAATAGAGGACTATTACCTCCCACGTATGATACAGGATATTACAGCTCAGGTATGTATCTATATATAGACTTTAGTGAGAGGGAAACTCCTACGTAGGATCAGGATATTACAGGTCAGGTATGTATCTATATATAGACTTTAGTGAGAGGGAAACTCCTACGTAGGATACAGGATATTACAGGTCAGGTATGTATCTATATATAGACTTTAGTGAGAGGGAAACTCCCACATATAATACAGGATATTACAGGTCAGGTATGTATCTATATATAGACTTTAGTGATAGGGCAATACTTACAGTTGGGCATTTATCTCTATTTAGTAATTATAGATAAATTATAGTGGAAATTCCCCATAGTATACAATACAGGATATTACTGGTCAGGTGTGTATTTATAGAAAGTGATATAGAAGCCTCTCTCATAATAACTTATTTAATACATTATCTTACTGCTTAGGCATTTATCTTTATTTAGATATATTTAGAATATTAATGGTCGAGTGTGCATCTATAGTATATGTATAGATTCATTTAGAGAGATTTTACTAGTTTCTCTGACAATTGATGCTCTAATTTTCCACATAAAAAATCACTACCAGTATTAAAAAATGGCGGAAGATAACATAGGGATTTTCAAAACTCCAGGAGAAACCATCAATACCATGGTACAAAAAAGAACTGCCAGTTATAAGTCTTACTGTGGATTCATTATTATTTGTTGGATACCAATTTTTTCGTGGATTTTGTGGGTACAGATGAACCATGAATTTAAATGTTCAACGAATAACAAATTTTCTATAGGCTTGTATGCGAACTTTGGCAAAACCACATCGAAATTTTCCTTAATCCACAAAAATTGGTACCCACGAAAATAAATGAATCCACAGTACTCTGTGATGTAACGATCAAGAAAATAGGGAAGATTTTTTTTGTTGTTATGACAATTGGAACATATTCATGGTCATCTGTGACACAGATATTCAATAACATTCAACCAAATCCTGATGGTGACTTTTAAGTGTTATAAAGGGTGCATTCCCCTTTTTTAAATCTTTCTATATTGATCAATAAAAAAAACATTAAAGTGGGAGCATTTTCTGAAAGCCCCACACATCAAGAACCTTTCAGCACCAATTGATGAGGCTATGGTGTTACCCCTATTATCTTTCTTTGTTTTTGTATTTTCATGGTTATTCAGAAAACTGTACCCAATGGTGATGCTGTTAACCTTATTAAACTTCTTTATTTTCCAGAAAACTGTACCCATTCAGTGGCGGATCCAGAACTTTTCATAAGGGGGGGGGCACTGACTGACCTAAGGGGGGCCGCTCTAGTCATGCTTCAGTGATTCCCTTTATAATCAACCAAATTTTTCACACAAAAGGGGGGGGGGGGGGGGGGGGGGGGGCTGGGCCCCCTGGATCCGCCTATGCCATTGGTGATGCTATGATGTTAACCATTTTAACTTTCTTCATTTTTGTATTTTCCAGAAAACCGTGCCCATTGGTGATGCTGTGGTGTTAACCATATTTGATTTCTTTATTTTCTAGAAAACTGTATTCATTGGTGATGCTGTGCTGTTAACCGTTTTGAATTTCTTTCTTTTTGTATTTTCCAGAAAACTGTACCCATTGGTGATGCTGTGGTTTTAACCATTTAAAATTTCTTTATTTTCCAGAAAACTGTACCTATTGGTGATGCTGTGATATCTACTATAGATACGTGTATTGGATCAGAAATCTGTGAAGAATTGTGGACACCTGATGGGTAAATAGAAGGGCTTAGCATAACTGTAAAATAATTTTATGCTGAGGATTTATATATATATAGGACTCTGAACCGTGATGATACTCTCAACCGTGATGGTCATGCTCAAATGCGATGGTTTGACTTTGAAGTGTAACTAGACATCATGCATTATATAGACCATCACATATCAGTGAAAGGACCATCACACGTTGGCAAAGACCAGTGCACTTCAGCGTAACCATCGCACTACAGTGTCCCCATCGCACCTCAAAGTCCTACATATATTTATGGCCTACCAATTTTCGTTATTTTGTGGATATAAGAAAAAAAACAAATTTAAGAGCAGAGAGAAAATGAAATCAAAGGGGCAATACAATATCATTAGTCCATGTTAAAAAAAATACAAACAACAACAAAGCACTGCACAGAAAACTAAAGATTGAGCAACACCAACCCAATCACAAACTGGGGGTTATCTCAGGTACTCAGGAATGGTACACAGAGAACTAAAGATTGAGCAACACCAACCCAATCACAAACTGGGGGTTAACTCAGGTGCTCAGGAATGGTACACAGAAAACTAAAGATTGAGCAACACCAACCCAATCACAAACTGGGGGTTAACTCAGGTACTCAGGAATGGTACACAGATAACTAAAGATTGAGCAACACCAACCCAATCACATACTGGGGGTTATCTCAGGTGCTCAGGAATGGTACACAGAAAACTAAAGATTGAGCAACACCAACCCAATCACAAACTGGGGGTTAACTCAGGTACTCAGGAATGGTACACAGATAACTAAAGATTGAGCAACACCAACCCAATCACATACTGGGGGTTATCTCAGGTGCTCAGGAATGGTACACAGAAAACTAAAGACCGAGCAACACCAACCCAATCACAAACTGGGGGTTATCTCAGGTGCTCAGGAATGGTACACAGAAAACTAAAGATTGAGCAACACCAACCCAATCACAAACTGGGGGTTAACTCAGGTGCTCAGGAATGGTACACAGAAAACTAAAGATTGAGCAACACCAACCCAATCACAAACTGGGGGTTAACTCAGGTACTCAGGAATGGTACACAGATAACTAAAGATTGAGCAACACCAACCCAATCACATACTGGGGGTTATCTCAGGTGCTCAGGAATGGTACACAGAAAACTAAAGATTGAGTAACACCAACCTAATCACAAACTGGGGGTTATCTCAGGTGCTCAGGAATGGTACACAGAAAACTAAAGATTGAGCAACACCAACCTAATCACAAACTGGGGGTTATCTCAGGTGCTCAGGAATGGAACACAGAAAACTAAAGATTGAGCAACACCAACCTAATCACAAACTGGGGGTTATATCAGGTGCTCAGGAATGGAACACAGATAACTAAAGATTGAGCAACACCAACCCAATCACATACTGGGGGTTATCTCAGGTGCTCAGGAATGGTACACAGAAAACTAAAGATTGAGCAACACCAACCCAATCACAAACTGGGGGTTAACTCAGGTACTCAGGAATGGTACACAGATAACTAAAGATTGAGCAACACCAACCCAATCACATACTGGGGGTTATCTCAGGTGCTCAGGAATGGTACACAGAAAACTAAAGATTGAGCAACACCAACCCAATCACAAACTGGGGGTTAACTCAGGTACTCAGGAATGGTACACAGATAACTAAAGATTGAGCAACACCAACCCAATCACATACTGGGGGTTATCTCAGGTGCTCAGGAATGGTACACAGAAAACTAAAGACTGAGCAACACCAACCCAATCACAAACTGGGGGTTATCTCAGGTGCTCAGGAATGGTACACAGAAAACTAAAGATTGAGCAACACCAACCCAATCACAAACTGGGGGTTAACTCAGGTGCTCAGGAATGGTACACAGAAAACTAAAGATTGAGCAACACCAACCCAATCACAAACTGGGGGTTAACTCAGGTACTCAGGAATGGTACACAGATAACTAAAGATTGAGCAACACCAACCCAATCACATACTGGGGGTTATCTCAGGTGCTCAGGAATGGTACACAGAAAACTAAAGATTGAGTAACACCAACCTAATCACAAACTGGGGGTTATCTCAGGTGCTCAGGAATGGTACACAGAAAACTAAAGATTGAGCAACACCAACCTAATCACAAACTGGGGGTTATCTCAGGTGCTCAGGAATGGAACACAGATAACTAAAGATTGAGCAACACCAACCCAATCACAAACTGGGGGCTATCTCAGGTGCTCAGGAATGGTAATCTGTTCCTGCTTCACTTCATATGATCAACAAAATACAAATTTCTTATAGTCTAATTTGCAGAATTTGTCAAAACCATGAAATCAATCCCTGTAAATGGTAAAAATACACACTTACTGCAAATTCTGTATAGTGTGCTTTAATCTTTATGGACTGTTCATAGTATTCTGAATTTTTAATAAGAATATTACAAGGTGAAGGTAATCTCTGTTTAAAGGTTGACATTATTTTGCAATTGAATTCATATCGTTTCTGAAAATTGTCAAATAAAGCTGCATTTCACAAAAATAAGGACATTGTTACTTTTATACTTTATTGTAGTTGTTTAACAGTCATATGGTTTGCTATACAGCTATAATAAATGTGCATTAATATTGACATGCTTAGTTCTATAAACAGTCAGGGATATAACTCTATAGGGTTATTAGAGAAAAAATAACATACATTTGTTATTGTGGACTAAAAAATCAAAAAAATGTGATAACATATGTATGTTACATGTTTCAAAGGGCCAATATACATCATTTGTTTTGTTTAAATGTATACAAGTTCTATTGATATTATTATTGTCTTTATGTATACTAAACTATAAAAAGATATAACAGTTCATAGTTTGCCAATCATGCATAGTACACCTATGTTATTACAGACAAAATATTCCTGTAATAACTAAAGGGTGTTATTACAGCTTCTCTACATCACTTCAAAGCCTTTGCTCAGACATACATCATGCTTAATCACAATGTATTTTAATTTATTGTAAGAAATAATGATCAGAGCATGTAATGAGGTTCTGCGCAAGCTTCCCAGTATTTCCCAAGTGTCTCATATAATAAGTTACATGCCTTTAATAACTAATTATATATAAGCCTTGTTATTACAGCTAAGTTTATCCCTTAAAAACCTTGTCTCATTGATTTACCATGGTTAATGAAAAATGTATTAATTTAATTCAAAAATTAGTTATCAAGGCTATGTATTTAGGTTCTGCGCAAAGTTTCAAGAATTCTCATGTGCCCACTAAAAATTAAAATATTTATGATTTATTTAATAAATAACAAACATACATTGACATATGTTACTACAGATTTAGAAAATTTAAGGAATAAAGAGTAGACAACTCATGAAAGTATCTGTAATAACACACACAAGATATTTTCTCTAATAACCCTATAGAGTTATATCCCTGACTGATATACCGGTTCCGGTATCTAAAGATTTTTTGTATATTTTGAGTTTCTGTCTTATTGACATATCCCCCCATATCCTTTTATTAATGTATAGCCTTTAGTATGATTGAGGAGAGTTTATTTATTTCAGGCACCATATTGATATGAGTTTAGATGGAGTTGAGATAATCGCCAATGGTAGTGGCAGCCATCATGAATTACGGAAAGGTTACGTCAGAGTTGATCTCATTAAATCTGCTACAATGAAGGTATTATTACTGAAAGGTTATGTCCGAGTTGATCTCATTAAATCTGCTACAATGAAGGTATTGTTAATTACTTCCTGTTAAATACCATCCAAACTCTCCTACTATGCATATTCTAACTAGTGGTCAACAACTGCAGTGTAAGTCTTCATAAAGACTAAATATGTTTATAGTTGAAGTGTTCTGATTACTTTTGCTTTAATGACAATATAGTTAACCAAGTCTTGTCATCTTCATTTCCCATTCTCACCGCAAAGTACACAATATAACTAATGTAGAGATGTTAATCAATGGCAAACAGTTGTTATAAATTACAGAAAGATTAGTGTGAAGTCTGATAAGTCTGCAACAATGGTATTATGGTATGGATATGTTGTTCTTAAAATTAAATAATAATTAAGTAATAGTCACAGTAAATGATCATATTATGTTTTTTGTGTTGATATGTTTTCTTTTGTTCAACCAGAATGGTTCTTACACTGACAGATTATTTTTATGCCCCCGCCATAGCAGAGGGGGCATTAAGTTTTACCCTTGTCCGTCTGTACGTCCGTCTGTTCGTACGTATGTACGTCCCAAAATTGGTTTCCGTTCTCTAACTTTAGTTTGCCTCAACCAAATGTTATGAAACTTATACACTATGCTTATTTCCACAAAACACAGATCAAGTTTGAATTTTGGTGGGGTCACTTTTACCTATCTAGAGTTATGCCCCTTTACAAATGGAAAAATTGCTGAATTTTTCGTTTCCATTCTCTAACTTTAGTTTGCCTCAACCAAATGTTATGAAACTTATACACAATGCTTAATACCCCAAAACACAGATCACGTTTGAATTTTGGTAGTGTCACTTTTACTGTTCTAGAGTTATGCCCCTTTATAAATGGAAAAATTGCTGAAGTTTTGGTTTCCGTTCTCTAACTTAAGTTTGCCTCAACTAAATGTTATGAAACGTATACACAATGCTTATTACCACAAAACTCAGATCAAGTACAACTTTGGGAAGCATCACTTTTACAGTTCTTGAGTTTTGTCCCATGGACATATTCCCCATTTATTTTCTATTTATACCGTAGAGGTAAAAATAACTGATATGTCATGGTAACATATTATTTTTCTGTTTCCAGTGTGGAGGTATATATGTGTTTGCTAACCAGATTGGTTGTGACGGTGATAGAGTATATTATGACGGCTGTTCAATGATTGCCATTAATGGAAAGATTTGCTCCCAGGGGCCACAGTTTGGCTTACAGGAAGTGGTATGTTGGAAAAAGATGAACAAAATGAAGAAAAAACATTTAATAACACATCAACTTGCAAAATACATTGCAAACATTAAGAGCTGACAAAAGAGGGATCTCTTTGTAGGAGATTTTGTATGATACACATAAAAAATCATTTTATAACTTCACAACATAAAATGGATTTACATAATTCAGACAAAATGAAAATATCAAATTGTATATTATATAAATCAATATAAATACAATAAGAGTAGTTAAGTTTATATTGGTTATTTTTACTTTTTAAAAAGGAGACAGAGGAGGGGTTATACTGAAGAAAAATAGAGATGCAACTCTTAGGAGGGGGTACCTGCATGAAATCAGGGTTTTTGGGGTATTTATACCAACCACAAACAGCTTGCTTAACATAGAAAGATAAAAAGTAAGCCAGACAAACACAAATGAACAAGAATATGGCTTGATACCCGGAAATATAGTAGGTGCACACACACACACACATGTTGGCTCAGTAACATAAATAAAATTGAGAATATAAAGTATACTAGAAACACTCACTCATGTGATTTGTGATTTTATCAATTGACATCAAATTCACTGTAACTAAAGAAATGAACTTGATATTCTCATGAAGTATTGCTACAATAGGTTGAAGGGTTTTCAAAATTCTTATTTTCATAGTAGTCTTTGGTACAATTCACTATGCTTACACAAGTTCTTTTGAAAAAAATGTATGATTTAATTTCTTGGATAACATTCATGATGTACACTCAGACCAAAATTTTGGAAGTGAAAATTTTTAAAAGTATTAAAGCAAACTAAAGTGGCATTAACAAAACAACCAACACTTTTTAAGGTCAATTTTGCCTTTGTTAGTTGCAAGCTTAAGTTGTAACACAAATATATAATTTAAGATTATGAAATTATTACTCTCCAAAAAATACTGCTTTTAATTTGTATTGTATAATTTAGTACGGTACAAAAAGTTTATTCTATAGTAATATTGTGTAAATGTTTTTAGGTAGTAAATGTAGCCACTGTTGATTTAGAAGATGTGAGAACTTACAGAAATGCCATCCGTAGCAGGAATGAGTTGGTCAGTATTATTACGATTAAAAAATGTATTCTCAATGTATCAAAAATTAGTCATACACATGTAGTTAAGATATGTGGTATAGAAATCTATCTGTTGTTTTATATATAATACAACATTTGAGTAGAGATATGTTATCCAATTTTGCATTCTATATCACTTATGTGCACTTCTTTTTACTTGAAAGACTTTTCTTATTCATGCTATAAAACTGATCATCTGAGCAACTTAAATGTTTGACTTGATTCTCTATAAAATAAATATTAACGTTCTATTTTTTTAGGCAAATTTTTTAAAAGACTTTGCTTAATAGTTATTAAACAATAAAATAAATTGTCTGGACTTGTCAACTTTGTCTTCTGTCAGCTGTGAACTGAGGTAAAAGAGACTTGCAATCAACTCAGTTTGTTTTTCAGGATTCTAGATATTTTCTCAGCCTAGATGACTATGTTTGTATATGATAATGACATATATTTTTACTTTTTCAGAGGTGTCAATCCTTTACTATCCTAGAAGTCTTGTGTTTTTTTGCTGTATGACATGACTTTTTATTTCATTTCTTTTTCAGGGATCCAAATCCTATGCCTATCCTAGAGTTCATTGTGATTTTGCTGTTTCCCATGATGACTCCTTTCAGCCAACCACTGACCCCATAGAATGGCAGTACCATACACCTGAAGAGGAGATTAGGTTAGGGAAATTCCATTTAAATAGACGTGATAGGGTCGGAAAGGATTTTCAACATCCCCCCCCCCCCCCCCCCCTACTGACCAACATACTTTCTTTAAGTAATTTTGTTTACATCAAATGAACAAAATATCATGAATGACCCACAACATATGTCCAAACATAAGACTTTCTTCCTACCCTTTCACATAAATTTTAATGGAATAGCCTTTATGTTTATATACACTACTGGATTCATTACAACTGAGAGGGATAATTAGTAGTAAATTCAGATTTATTTATATTTCATAATAAGCTCTTGGATAGGTTTACATTGTATAAAACTTACTGAAGCCTAAAACCATATAATGTAGCCATTCAAGTAGAACATAATAGATAAACCATTTTATTAAAATACTGTTCTACTGTTTTTGCAATATTACTTTTAGTAATTTTTATGCCCCACCTACGATAGTAGAGAGGCATTATGTTTTCTGGTCTGTGCATCCATTCATTCTTCCGTCCGTCCGTCCGATCGCCCCGCTTCAGATTAAAGTTTTTGGTCAAGGTAATTTTTGATGAAGTTGAAGTCCAATCAACTTGAAACTTAGAACACATGTTCCCTATGATATGATCTATATAATTTAAATGCCAAGTTAGAGTTTTGACCCCAATTTCACAGTCCACTGAACATAGAAAATGATAGTGCGAGTGGGGCATCCATGTACTATGGACACATTCTTGTTTTAATCAATGCTTGGTTATCAGTTGTTAGTTTCTCTAAACTAATCATTAAGGATTTTGTGATTTAATCATATACTGATGATTAATCTAATATTCCAATCGTATCAATATTGTGTATTCGTAGGTGAAGGTGAACCACAAATTTAAATTATCTATAGGCTTGAGTGCAGACTTTTCAAACCATGAAATTAATTGTCCACAAAAATACAATATTTCCTTAATCCACGAAAAAATTTATAAATCCACAGTAATTAGATAAAAAAAAACATGAGTTAAATAAAAACAGACAAAACTGTGGCCAAAAATAAAAACAACAGTCTAGAAAATGAAAGATTTGACAACTTGAACACCTTTTCAAATGTAGCTCAGTTTTGGACTTATACCTAGTTGGTTAGTTATTGGGAGATCTTAAAATCTGATCTGTGGTCAGAGAGCATTCCATCTCTTTTTCAGTAAGATTATTTAATTGTTCTTTTGTATATTTACAGCTTGGGACCAGCCTGTTGGTTGTGGGACTACCTTAGAAGGAGTGGTCAGGGAGGATATTTTCTCCCCCTTAGTGGGGGTATTGATAGTTCTAGTACTGCCTGTATTGTCTCCAGTATGTGTCATCTTGTGATAGATGCTGTCAAGAAGGGAGGTTAGTACTGCCTGTATTGTCTCCAGTATGTGTCATCTTGTGATAGATGCTGTCAAGAAGGGAGGTAAGTACTGCCTGTATTGTTTCCAGTATGTGTCATCTTGTGATAGATGCTGTCAAGAAGGGAGGTTTGTCTGTAATCACATTTTCAAATCTTCTGATGATCTTATTATTCTAAAGTTAAAAGAACTTGAAGTGGAATGCTACAGATTTAAGAAGAAGGTGTCTGTTTCACAAACTTTCCTTTTCAGAATAGATCTGAAAAATCTGCTAGGCAGTTATTTTTATGCCCCCGCCATAGACGATGAGGGCATTCAGTGTTACCCTTGACCATCCGTCTTTCTATTCGTCCCTCCCATTTTCGTTTGGTTGGAGCTTGAGTTAAGGCATTCTTGTCCTCCGACACATTCTTCATTTATTTTTGATTAATATCATATTTTGATACACCACATCCTTCCTTTTCCATGCAATGTAAAAAATTAGAATTGCAAGCAACTGATAGAAGAAAAATAATGACCTTCTTTTTACTTCATACTATAGTTTGGAATAATTTACATGTTTTCCTATTTCAAGGTATGCAAAGAGTTTCCTCTTATTAAATATAACAAGAGTTGTCTCCCATATACCATTAATTATTTGTATTTGTATTTTTTGTTTGTCCAAGTCAAGTTTTGTGGTAAAATTTAAACAAGGAACACTGTGAAAACACATATGAACATGTACTACATAAGTGATATTTCACCAATTTAAAATATATAATAAATTATGCTTTATCTATATTACAGATACTAAGGTGTTATCAGATGTGAGGAAAGTCATAGGTGATCCATCTTATATACCCACAGATGATAAAGAGCTAGCTGGTTTAGTGTTTACAACATGTTACATGGGCTCAGAAAACAGCTCTAAAGAAACACAGTCTAGAGCTGCTGAATTAGCTCAACAGATTGGCAGGTTTGACATATACACTCTTGAGCAAAAAAGTTTAAATATATAAAAATAGATTTTAGATCGAACAGATTGGACAAACTTTTTTGGGAAATTATTTGTTTAATTACACCTTATATAAGAATGCCGGATTTTGATTGGATGGTGGCCAGGGTATTTTTTGAATATTCTAACCTTTTTTCCTCTGACATTTCAAAACGAATTTGCCTGTTTTTCACAACTGCCTTTGAATATGCCTCAAATTCCCCTCCGTGCTGTGGTATTTGCCATTTTGGATATTCCTTTTTTACCCTCGCAAGCCTCTTCCCGCCAAAATTATTTGGAATCTTTCGCACCTTATCCCGATTATTTAGGCAACACACGTAAGCAATATTGTCATCGTATATTGAAAAATGCATTGTGTATATAAAGTGGAAAAAGAAGCCTAGCGGCTTGGGAAATTTCACAGTCCCTTGACTGATATTTTTCGCAAATACCCCTCCTTAACATGATATATCTGTTCAAAACAACTTAGTCTGAGAATTGAGTCTTTTTTACATGATACCTTGAGCACAAATAATCTGATTTCAAAATTTTTGCTAAGAATTCCGCTCAAGCCGTTGCTAGGGGCCGTCTTAAACTTGCAGTGAGGTGAGAGTTTTTTGCTCCGTCTCTGTGTTGAAGGCCTCACTGTGACTTTGAGATGAAGAACAGCAATAAAAGCGCTATTCCTTTGCTTTTTGTGTGTTTGTTTGCTGTGCAAGTACTGTGTCATGGATGGATACCCCATATCCTTTGTTTTTCTATCACATATATAAAGATTTTCAAAGATTTTTGAAAAGGGAATTTATAGGGTTTAAGGAAAATGTTTTTGTATGTTGGTTGAAAAACAAACTTTTGGAATTTGAGTCTTATTAACACAATAAATTGAGGAAAAATAAAACCAATGTTAAACTTAAGTGAATAATGGGTACAGATTACAGATCTTGGATAAGTGTTGAGCTGGAAGAAACATGACAAATGATTTCAGGAGAAATGTTTGTTATATTGTTATAAAAGGAATTTTGAGAATCACAAGCAAATATCAATATTTATGATTAGCTCATTCATGCACCAGGTGGTACATTATTTTATTTCAGCTTCTATTTGTCACATGAATAAAAGGCAACAAAGCACTTAATGAAAGGTTACAATACAATCTGAGATGAAGATTCAGCCATTGTTGTCTGCTTTAGATAAAATTGCTGTATGATTTCACTATTTTTCTTCAGCTTCATGCTGTAGTTCAAATATTGGATATTTATAAAAATAAGAAGATGTGGTATGACTGCCAATGAGACAACATTCCACAAGAGACCAAATGACACAGAAATTAACAACTATATGTTACTGTTTTTGACAGTTTTAGAGTTAAGAGACTGTGACCATTTATATTATAAAGACAATTTTTCAAATATCATGCACTAACTCACATATGCCTTGATTGATTTCTTAAAACTTAACATTATTGTTGGGATTGATAAAAGGAAACTCCCTTTTAATTTTTTTTTTATTTTCTGGTTTGTTGTTCCAGAGTTTGGGACTTTTAAAAATTGTTAGATTTAAGTAAATTTTTCACATGCTGTACCTCAACTTGAGTTGGCTTGGTTTGATTTATTGGAAACTCACAAATAATTGTTGGAACATAACACACCCTTTGATTTAAACAAAAAGTAATAAATAAAAGGCATTTTTGAAATGTCGTACACTAGCTGTGGTATAATTGGATCAAATTACAACAAACACAACACTGTTGTTCCGATTGGTGAATGAAGACTCGATTTTGATTTGTTCTGGTTTGTCATTCCAGAGTAAAGGGACTTTGAACAGTCATATTTGACACAATATTTAAACGTCTTAGGGTATCTTCATACATGTTTTTCTATAGAACCATTTTATTTCCCTCTAATTAAATGCCATCTAGATATATCCCATTTTTTTGCAACAATTTCAATATGCACAGTAAGGGTGTATCATGCACCCTTGGTGTAGCTACTTATTATATTTTGAGTTTCCATTTATCCATAAAGATAGATATAGCAATTTTGACAGTATTAACTCCTTTTTATTATTTCAGCTTCCATTTATCAATAAAGATAGATATAGCAGTAGCTGCCATATTAACAGTATTTACCACTGCACTGAAGTTGATTCCCAAGTTTAAAGCCAATGGTGGAAGTCTGAGAGAAAATCTGGCTTTACAAAATATACAGGTATATATACAGACAAGAAAAAAGGGAGACAATGCAATGCCAATGTGGAAATAATAATCAAAGTACTTTTGTCCTTAGCATTGATGAACAGCAATAAAAAACAAGTTTTCATCTGAGATGTTATAGTTATCAAGTGATTACATGAAATACTTGTCTCCTGTTATCCACCATATATTCCAAACTTCCAGGTAAAGGCCCAGAACAGTTATTTTGTAATGCATTCATGGATTTTTGTAGCATTCCACAGGGTCCGGTATTCAGACCCATTCCCAACGGCAAAAACACTACATTTTTCCCAATTTTGAGAGCAAAATTCCCAAACGATCACAAAATTCATTTTCATCTTTATTATTCACGACAGAGATGTTTATTTTATTGAACCGCTAACTTTATGCCGAAAATCGCCAACAACTAATGTGTAAATCCGAGTAAAAACATAATTGACTGACAAAAACAACATTGACAAACAATGACTGCCATAAACAGGAAGTGAAGAAAATTACAAAACCAGACCAGATTCCGTAAACGGATAAGGCTAATTCCGGGTTTGCCGATCAAATATACAATAAACAAATGAAAAAAAAAGTCCAAGCATGTGACAGCTATGAAACAGCAACTCTAAAATCTAAAACTAAAAGATATATGAAAAAGAAAAGAGAAACAGGAAGTATTTTATACAGAAACTCAAAAATATATTCACAAATTTTCATGTCAAAATCAAATAAAATGTGACTATGCTTTTTTTTTCTTTATCACTAAAAAATGTTGATATTAGATGTTTTTATAAGGTAAACAAATAACTACAGATCCAAGAGGTTATTTCTTCTGAATTTTGAAGGGCCAGTAAAAATCTAGAAGAGCAAATGGATTTAAAAAAATGTTAGATTGCTCGGCCAGTTAAAATACATCTTATTTCTATCCCTGGATTATTTATTATATTAACCATGTTTACTGTTATACTGTCTTTGAAGATAAAAAAGGGTGGTGTTAATATTTATCACATGTGTGCTTTAAGAACTCGTTATTTTGATGTTAGAAGAAACTTGATTACCTTGTGTTAAATTTAAAACCAAAAGGAACAGAAAATTGAATTATTAATAACATACATGTAGTTTCTTACTTTATTTTCACCAAAAAAGAAAATTGTTAATGAACTAAATACACTAAAACTAACATCTGGTGTATTGGTTGTTTTTCCCAATTTCATTGGTAATCACATTAAAAAAATTCCCAAAACTGACCAGGGTCCTTTTTCCCAAAATACCCAGATAAACCCCTGGCATTACTTTATATCGAATTATAGAAAATTTCATCAGCTCTAACTCAAAATATAACCAATTTTATGTAGAAGGGGCATAAATGCAGTTTGACAGCTTCAGACATGCTCATTTTTATACGCCCTTCATAGACGGTACATATTATGATATACCAAAGGTCCATCCGTCCATCAACACTTCGTTCAATAACTCAAATATCCTTTGACCAATTTTTGTGTAATTTTAACACAACATTAGGATTGAAGGAAGCAAGTTCTTTTTTACTTTTGAAAAAATTTCTCTATTGTTGATCAGGAGTTACTGGACTTTAACCATCAGATTTTTCACATATTTCACACTAACCCCAGTATGCCTAGTTTGGTTCCCTCAAAACTTTACATTATTGTTGGGTTTGATGAAAGAAAGATCCCTTTGAATTTTCTGGTAAAATTTCATCTAAAATATTCTGATGTCAAATTTTATTTCATTTTGATAAATAGAAAAGCTTGAAAACATTTGAAGTTAATGTTTGACACCAGAACAAGACTTATGATGTGCAAAAACAAATACAATGTTTCACAGAATTTTCTTTTTCACACATAGATAATTTTTACCGTAAGAGAACTCTTATGAATTGGATATTGCCTGATATCATCTCTCGTTATTTAATTTCAATAATAATAATAATATAAAACTTACCGAAGTCTCTTTTATTTTTATATTGAATTAGATAACTCAAGCAATACTGTAGATTCATTATTATTCGTTGGATACCAATTTTCGTGGATTTCGTGGGTACAGGTGAACCACGAATTAAAATGTTCAACGAATTACAAATTTTCCATTGGCCTGTATGCAGACTTTGGTAAAACCACGAAATTGAATATCCACGAAAGTGTAAGTTTTTTTCAATCCACGAAAATTGGTACCCACGAAAATAAATGAATCCACAGTATCCAATTCTCGTTCATTAGAAACTCTCTAATTATTGATATATAAGCTACATCTTCCTTTACAATATATAATGGTTAATTGACTTGTAAACTATCAAATTGATTTGTCCATTGATTGTTTCAGGCCAGAGTAAGAATGGTGTTAGCCTACCTATTTGCCCAGTTATGTTTGTGGACCAGAGGGAGATCTGGTGGACTGCTGGTTCTGGGCTCTGCTAATGTAGACGAATGGTAAGTTTTAGTCCATGGGGACTAGGGTTAGGAGACCAGTGGAAGATCTGGAGGACTTCTGGTTCTGGGCTCTGCTAATGTAGACGAATGGTAAGTTTTAGTCCATGGGGACTAGGGTTAGGAGACCAGAGGGAGATCTGGTGGACTGCTGGTTCTGGGCTCTGCTAATGTAGACGAATGTTAAGTTTTAGTCCATGAGGACTAGGGTTAGGAGACCAGAGGAAGATCTGGAGGACTTCTGGTTCTGGGCTCTGCTAATGTAGACGAATGGTAAGTTTTAGTTCATGAGGACTAGGGTTAGGAGACCAGAGGGAGATCTGGTGGACTGCTGGTTCTGGGCTCTGCTAATGTAGACGAATGGTAAGTTTTAGTCCATGGGGACTAGGGTTAGGAGACCAGAGGGAGATCTGGTGGACTGTTGGTTCTGGGCTCTGCTAAAAAATTGAAAACAACACATTTAATAATTTCATGCATCCGAAGTGCTTTTCTGGATTTACCTTCATCAGGACTAATGTAGACGAATGGTTAGTTTTAGTCCATGGGGACTAGGGTTAGGAGACCAGAGGGAGATCTGGTGGACTGCTGGTTCTGGGCTCTGCTAATGTAGATGAATGGTAAGTTTTAGTCCATGGGGACTAGGGTTAGGAGACCAGAGGAAGATCTGGAGGACTTCTGGTTTTGGCCTCTGCTTATATAGACGAATGTTAAGTTTTAGTCCATGAGGACTAGGGTAAGGAGACATGAGGGAGATCTGCTGGACTGCTGGTTCTGGGCTCTGCTAATGTAGACGAATGGTAAGTTTTAGTCCATGGGGACTAGGGTTAGGAGACCAGAGGGAGATCTGGTGGACTGTTGGTTCTGGGCTCTGCTAAAAAATTGAAAACAACACATTTAATAATTTCATACATCCAAAGCACTTTTCTGGATTTACCTTCATCAGGACTAAAGTAGACGAATGGTAAGTTTTAGTCCATGGGGACTAGGGTTAGGAGACCAGAGGGAGATCTGTTGGACTGCTGGTTCTGGGCTCTGCTAATGTAGACGAATGGTAAGTTTTAGTCCATGGGGATTAGGGTTAGGAGACCAGAGGAAGATCTGGAGGACTTCTGGTTCTGGCCTCTGATGATATAGACGAATGTTAAGTTTTAGTCCATGAGGACTAGGGTTAGGAGACCAGAGGAAGATCTGGTGGACTGCTGGTTCTGGGCTCTGCTAATGTAGACGAATGGTAAGTTTTCGTCCATGGGGACTAGGGTTAGGAGAGCAGAGGGAGATCTGGTGGACTGCTGGTTCTGGGCTCTGCTATTGTAGACGAATGGTAAGTTTTAGTCCATAGGGACTAGGGTTAGGAGACCAGAGGAAGATCTGGAGGACTTCTGGTTCTGGCCTCTGCTAATATAGACGAATGTTAAGTTTTAGTCCATGAGGACTAGGGTTAGGAGACCAGAGGGAGATCTGGAGGACTTCTGGTTCTGGGCTCTGCTAATATAGACGAATGGTAAGTTTTAGTCCACGAGGACTAGGGTTAGGAGACCAGAGGGAGATCTGGAGGACTTCTAGTGCTGGGCTCTGCTAATATAGACAAATAATAAGTTTTAGTCCATGGGGACTAGGGTTAGGAGACCAGAGGGAGATCTGGAGGATTGCTGGTTCAGGGCTCTGATTATGCAGACTAATGGTAAGTTGTAGTCCAAGGGCACTAGGGTTATGGAGTATTTTTTTATAGAATGCTAAGTTATATTGATAGAGGCTAGGGTATGGGGGCACATAAGTAATTAGTCCAGCAGCGCCTTGATTAGGAGCCACCATATAACAGAATGGTTTAAACTCAACTGAGAATAAATGTTCATTTGAAAAAAAATTCAGATGTAAAGACTTACAAACAATATAAATCTATTACCATGATTACCGTTGTCAGTAAGAATATTTGGCTGATTTTAAAATTTCTATTGGTTTCCTTAGTAAAACTCTGTAAGGGCCTTTAGTAAATCTGATATTTTATTTTCAGTTTACATGAATTAATATGCATATATTCAACTCTGTATGGTAGCATTATAAAATGTGATATTTTATTTTCAGTTTACGTGGATATATGACTAAGTATGATTGTTCCAGTGCAGATATTAACCCTATAGGTGGCATCAGTAAATCTGACTTACGGAGATTTATATTGTATTGTAGAAATAGATTTGGCTTTTCTGCCTTAGAAAAGTAAGTCATTTTAAAATATTTTATTTCACCTCTACCATATCTACATATTTTTGTGATTTGATAGAATATGTTATTCTTAATGACTTGGTTTTGCCGTGATAAGGGATACACGATATCCTGTAGACTTACTGTTTTTGCATAAAATGATAAGAAATTGCTCTTATAACATTTATTAAAAAGTTTATCTTCGTTATTTTCGTGGGTACCAATTTTCATGGATTGAGATGTATTTTTGAATAATTTAATTTTGGATGTAACGCGTCTTCCGATTGGCTGACGTTGTTTTGTTTATCAGCTCATAGAAGTAATTTTGTCATGTGACCTTGACATCATCAACGTTTTTTCATGATTTACTCCGGTTTAAAATGGAATTAAGAATTAAATTATAAGAAATGACTGTACTATTTTTTCTGTCTATTCGAAATAACATAAAAAATGTGGTGCACACTTTAAAATAACCCGCTACACGGGTTATTCAGTGTGCACCTCATTTTTGATGTTATTTCTTCATAGACAGAAAAAATATTACAGTCATTCCTTAAATAATTGTATTTTAAATATTGAATATTTAGTTTGCTGTATTTTTAAATTATTGTATGGTTTTATAGGATTTATAATGCCCCGCCCACTGCAGAATTAGAACCTTTGAAAGATGGACAGCACCTGGCACAAACAGATGAGGTAAGATTGTCTAAAGATGGACAGCACCTGGCACAAACAGATGAGGTAAGATTGTCTAAAGATGGACAGCACCTGGCACAAACAGATGAGGTAAGATTGTCTAAAGATGGACAGCACCTGGCACAAACAGATGAGGTAAGATTGTCTAAAGATGGACAGCACCTGGCACAAACAGATGAGGTAAGATTGTCTTAAGGTTGTTTACATATGAATGATGTAAAACAAAATATAACAGAAATTACTAAACATATTGGACAGTGCAACAGATCACACCAACCACTAACACCTTACTCATCTGAAAAGAAATGCATGGTTCAGATAGCTTGACAATACAGGCACAAAATAAAGTGGTGTTTAAAACCAGTTTCATATGCAACCCCTCCCCCAACCCCAACAAACAATAACAAAAAAAACTGCCCAGTGCAGCCTCCAGAGGGTGATTCTCCTAACTTGAACAAAGAAATAAAAAATGGCACAATATTTGGAAAGCTGGGTTAAAATGTGCTCTCTATACAGGAAGCAAGCTAAGACCCATTGGTGGCCTTCGGCTGTTGTCTTCTCTATGGTCGGGTTGTTGTCTCTTTGGCACATTCCCCATTTCCATTCTCAATTTTAAGGTAGTTACAGCTGTTGGTTGAATACTGTCTGTCAAGAAAAACAACTTTCCTAACAGGGTTCATGAAGTATATGTCTTGATTCCCAGTAATCTTGACTGGCAAACATTTACAATATATTGATGTCTCTGAAATGTGGTATGTGTGTAACAGTGTTCTGACTGCCAAAATTCCATCAGATCTGTCACTTTAACATTTTGTGTCTGATTGTCTGACTGTTTATTACCTACATAAAAGGTTGTTGTGATACACTGTTGCATCTTCAGGTATTTCGTCAAATCCTCAGACATCAGTTTACAGTTTATGCCTTTGATATTGTCACCTGGATTTGTAATTTTTATACGACCGCAAAAAAATTTTGTGGTCATATATTGGTATGACGTTGGCGTCGTCTTCGTCGTCCTGCGTCGTCGTCCGAAGACACATTGGTTTTCGCACTCTAACTTTAGTTTAAGTGAATGGATCTTTTTGAAATTTGACCATAAGGTTAAATACCACAAAAGGAAGGTTGGGATTGATTTTGGGGGTTATTGTACCAACAGTTAAGGAATTAGGGGCCAAAAAGGGGCCAAAAATAAGCATTTTCTAGTTTCCAGACAATAACTGTGGAACGGTGTATGGATCTCTCTGAAATTATACTACAAGTTTCCATACCACAAAGGGATTGTTAGGATTTGCTTTGGGGAGTTATGGCTCAAACCGTTTAGGAATAAGGGGCAAAAAAGGGGGAAAAACAAGGTTGTCCTGGTTAATGGACAAATACTTAAGTACAAAACATAATTTAAAGCAGTGTAAGGGAGATAAATCAAATTCATCATTGAAATTATCTCCCTTACACTGCTTTTAAATTATGTATAAAGTAATGGTTAATGAACAATAAAGATAATTTAAAACAGTGTAAGGGAGGTAATCCAAATACAACGTTTTGGTTACTTCCCTTACACTGCTTTTAAATTATGTTTAAAGAAATGCATATTTATAAAGGAAGACCAGTAAAAATATCTGCAAATGTTGCATCTTTTTTTTTTACAAAAAAATCCATATGAAAGATTTGACACTATATTTTTAATTCTATTATAAAATAGATTAAGTTAGCACTATGGTAAATTTAAATGGGTAATTATGGTTGCCAACTCCATTGGAAATTTGAAGTGAGATTATGACCATATCTTGAGGGAAAGAATTTTTTTGGGGAAAAAAGGGGGGGGGGGATAAAAAGAAATTGTGGGGTGTCGATTTTTTCTCATTTCAGATTTCAGAAATTAAAAAGAATTATTCTTCAAATATTATTTTTTTTTCAAATTTCAAATATTGAAAAATTTCAAGAAGTAATCTTTAATTGCACAGTATGGCGCATTATATTTGTAAAATCTTTGATCACATTTATTTATTTGTTATGCCGAATCTAACAGTGTATTTAGATTTATAATTTTGGGTCCAGTTTTCAAATTGGTCTACATTAAGGTCCAAATTGGGGTCCAAAATTAAACTTTGTTTGATTTTATCAAAAATTGAATATATGAGGTTCTTTGATATGCTGAATCTAAACATGTATTTAGATTTTTTATTTGTGGACCCCGTTATCAAATTGGTTCATATTGAGGTCAAAAGGGTCCAAAATTAAACTTTGTTTGATTTCATCTAAAATTGAATTATTGGGGTTCTTTGATATTCCAAATCTAACCGTGTATTTAGATTTTTAATTTTGGGTCCTGTTTTTTAAATTGGTCTACATTAAAGTCCAAAGGGTCCAAAATTAAACTTAGTTTGATTTTAACAAAAATTGAATTCTTGGGGTTCTTTGATATGCTGAATCTAAACATGTATTTAGATTTTTGATTATGGGCCCAGTTTTCAAGTTGGTTCAAGATAGGGTCCAGTATTTAAACTTTGTTTGATTTCAACAAAAATTGAATATATGGGGTTCTTTGATATGCTGAATCTAAACATGTATTTAGATTTTTGATTATGGGCCCAGTTTTCAAGTTGGGCCAAATTGGGGCCCAAAATTAAACTTTGTTTGATTTCAACAAAAATTGAATATATGAGGTTCTTTGATATGCTGAATCTAACCATGTATTTAGATTTTTTATTTGTAGGCCCCGCTATCAAATTGGTTCATATTGAGGTCAAAAGGGTCCAAAATTAAACTTTGTTTGATTTCATCAAAAATTGAATTATTGGGGTTCTTTGATATGCCAAATCTAACCGTGTTTTTAGATTTTTAATTCGGTCCCGTTTTTTAAATTGGTCTTCATTGAGGTCCAAAGGGTCCAAAATTAAACTTAGTTTGATTTTAACAAAAATTGAATTCTTGGGGTTCTTTGATATGCTGAATCTAAACATGTGTTTAGATTTTTGTTATGGGCCCAGTTTTCAAGTTGGTCCAAGTTGGGGTCCAAAATTAAACTTTTTTTGATTTCAACAAAAATTGAATATATGGGGTTCTTTGATATGCTGAATCTAACCATGAATTTAGATTTTTTATTTGTGGGCCCCGCTATCAAATTGGTTCATATTGAGGTCAAAAGGGTCCAAAATTAAACTTTGTTTGATTTCATCAAAAATTGAATTATTGGGGTTCTTTGATATTCCAAATCTAACCGTGTATTTAGATTTTTAATTTTAAGTCCCTTGTTTTAAATTGGTCTACATTAAGGTCCAAAGGGTCCAAAATTAAACTTAGTTTGATTTTAGCAAAAATTTAATTCTTGGGGTTCTTTGATATGCTGAATCTAAACATGTGTTTAGATTTTTGATTATGGGCCCAGTTTTCAAGTTTGTTCAAGTTGGGGTCCAAAATTAAACTTTGTTTGATTTTAACAAAAATTGAATATATGGGGTTCTTTGATATGCTGAATCTAACCATGTATTTTGATTTTGGACATTGGACCATAATAGGTAAATTAAAAAAATTCAAGTTCTTAGACCACATTCTTTCTGTGTCAGAAACCTATGCTGTGTCAAATATTTAATAACAATCCAAATTCAGAGCTGTATCAAGCTTGAATGTTGTGTCCATACTTGCCCCAACTGTTCAGGGTTCGACCTTTGCGGTCGTATCAAGCTGCGCCCCAGCGAAGCATTTTATTAGAACCAGTTGAAGTAATTAACAATGACGGACCACCAATTTTTTGAAAGACCGGCAAAAATTTGCAACCTGTTAGTCCTTGATCCGACAAAAAAAACTTAAGTTTTGGAAATTCTGGTCTAAATTGATTAAAATTTAATTTCACCATTTTTTAATGACTTCATGGCGTAACAAGCTGTGAAAAGAACATTTTTAAACTAGAGTAGTAATAAAAAGAGATATGAGGTATATGTCAAAGTGACAGCAACCTCAGCAAGACATAGACCAATTTAGCATCTATAATTTACCTAGTACTCAATGCTTACATTTCTTCTTTCAGGATGATATGGGAATGACTTATGATGAGTTGTCGTTGTATGGTAGATTGAGAAAACAGAGTTATTGTGGACCCTTTAGTATGTTCTGTAAACTGGTCCATATCTGGAGTGACAAGTTTTCTCCTGGCCAGGTAAGTTCACAGACAGGGAAAGTTATTGTGGACCCTTTAGTATGTTCTGTTATCTGGTCCATATCTGGAGTGACAAGTTTTCTCCTGGCCAGGTAAGTTCACAGACAGGGAAACAGTTATTGTGGACCCTTAAGTATGTTCTGTAAACTGGTCCATATCTGGAGTGACGTTTTCTCCTGGCCAGGTAAGTTCACAGACAGGGAAACAGTTATTGTGGACCCTTTAGTATGTTCTGTAAACTGGTCCATATCTGGAGTGACAAGTTTTCTCCTGGCCAGGTAAGTTCAAACAGTTATTGTGGACCCTTTAGTATGTTCTGTAAACTGGTCCATATCTGGAGTGACAAGTTTTCTCCTGGTCAGGTAATTTTACAGACAGGGAAACAGTTATTGTGGAATCTGTAGTTTGGTCTGTAAACTTTTCCATATTGTTTCTTGACCAGACTATTTTTCTTGTGTGAGTGAATTGATCCAATTTGTACAGTTGTTAACTACAGAAAATAGGTTTTTATATGTTAATTTACGGGACAAATTATGGTATACTGTTGTCCGTTCATCCGTCGTCAACACTTCGGACAATAAATCAAAAACGCTCTCACTAATTTTCATGAAACTTTGGTGAATTTTTTATATCTGTTGGTGTAAGCTCCCTCTCGATTTTTATAAATTTTAGATTTTATGTTTCCGAGTTTTGGGATTTTATTCAAAAAAAAAATGGGTGATTTTCCTGTTTTCTGACTATAACTCAAAAATGCTTTGAACAATTTACATAAAACTGGTGAAATCTTTATATATATTGATATTAGTTCCCTTCGATTTTTAATTATTTCTGATATTACGTTTTGGAGTATTGGGAATTTATTCATAAAAGAGGGGGGATTTTCCAGTTTGCGGACAATTACTGTAAAAAATGCTTTGAGCAGTTTTCATGAAGCTTGGTGGCATGCTTATATCTTTTGAAATAAGCTCCCTTTTGTTTTTTTTTTATTAATTTCTGATGTGACATTGCGGAGTTATGGAACTTTATTGGTTGAAAAATCGTCGAAAACAGTTTAGAATTTTATTCTTTCAAAAATTTTGCCACAAACTTAGTTAAACTTGAGGTAACCTTAATAATGCCAAATTATTTATGTTTTGTGTCAATTGGTACCACTGTGGGTGCATGTTGGGTTTTTTTAAGGGGTGAGGGATCTATTTGAGGAGTGCTCACAGTATTTTTAGTTCATCATATGAATTCATTTTTAAAAAGCATAAAGTCGAGCTAAAGGGGTGACAGGCGTATTATGTGCTCATGTCGCAGCTCTTTATTGTCCATACTATCTATGTGTTGAAAAACTGCTAATGTTTTAATTATATTGATTCGACTGTTTTATCCATAAAAGTAACTGTTTCAAGGCTTTTATCAATGATAGAGTCAGGTTAAACTTTTTATTCAGCATTGGTCAAAACATTGTAATGTCATTTATTACCATAGATTTTGCTGCATAAACACTTTTAATAGCTTCAAACTCCAAAATCCATGAAATAATGATTTGTTTAATAAAATTATCTTTTGGATAGTTAGGACTAGCTCTTTTTACATATAAAAAAATATGACACTTGGTATTAACTACATTAGTAATAAGATTAGATATTACAATATATTCTTAAACATTGTGACTTAATTTCCAGGTTGCAGAGAAGGTGAAGTTTTTTTTCCGTCATTATGCCATCAACAGACATAAGATGACAGTTGTGACACCAGCATATCACACAGAAACCTATAGTCCAGATGACAACAGATTTGATCATCGCCAGTTTCTGTATAATGCAAAGTGGCCTTGGCAGTTCAAATACATAGATTTACAGGTATGTGTTTTATGTTGTCTTAACAACCCAAGACCAAGAAACAAGGTATCTCCAGTGTTGATGATACCAGATCAATGATATCTTATGTTCTTGCATTGAGGTGAGAGTGTTAAAATGAAGAACAGCAATAAAAGTGCTGTTCCTTTGCTGTTCCTTTCCTTTCATGCTTGTATATTTATTTTGTGTCATGAACTGTTTCATATTAAACATGCATTCAACAAACAAATTCAAAACTGAGCTTTGTATCTGTCCCATGTCAGGAACCTGTAGTTCAGTGGTTTCTGTCATATTTGGTTTTTTTTTTTATAAATTGGTTTTTTGTCGAGCCTGCGACTTTTGTTGCAGAAAGCTCGACATAGGGATAGTGATCCGGCGGCGGCGGCGGCGTTAGCTAACTTCTTAAAAGCTTTATATTTCAGAAGGTTGAAGACCTGGATGCTTCATACTTTGTATATGGATGCCTCATGTTACGAAGTTTCCGTCAGTCACATGTCCAATGTCCTTGACCTCATTTTCATGGTTCAGTGACTACTTGAAAAAAAAGTTAAGATTTTTTGTAATGTTAAATTCTCTCTTATTATAAGTAATAGGATAACTATATTTGGTATGTGCGTACCTTGCAAGGTCCTCATGCCCGTCAGACAGTTTTCACTTGACCTTGACCTCATTTCATGGATCAGTGAACAAGGTTAAGTTTTGGTGGTCAAGTCCATATCTCAGATACTATAAGCAATAGGTCTAGTATATTCGGTGTATGGAAGGACTGTAAGGTGTACATGTCCAACTGGCAGATGTCATCTGACCTTGACCTCATTTTCATGGTTCAGTAGTTATAGTTAAGTTTTTGTGTTTTGGTCTGTTTTTCTTATACTGTATGCAATAGGTCTTCTATATTTGGTGTATGGAATGATTGTAAGGTGTACATGTCTAGCTGGCAGGTGTCACCTGACCCTGACCTCATTTTCATGGTTCAGTGGTCAAAGTTAAGTTTTTGAGTTTTGGTCTTTTTTTCTAATACTATATGCAATAGGTCAACTATTTTTGGTGTATGGAAATATTTTATGATCTATATGCAGTCGTGCAGGTTTCATTTGACCTTGACCTCATTTTCACGGTTCATTGATCAATGTTAAGTTTTTTGTATTTTGGTCTGTTTTTCTTAAACTATAAGCAATAGGTCAACTATATTTTTTGTATAGAAGGATTGTAAGCTGTATATGTCTGTCTGGCTGGTATCATCTGACCTTGACCTCATTTTGTTGGTTCATTGGTCAATGTTAAGTTTTCATGGTTAAGTTTGTTTCTTAGATACTATAAGCAATAGGTCAACTATATTTAATGCATAGATTGATTGTAAGGTGTACATGTCTGCCTGGAATGGTTCATCTGACCTTGACCTCATTTTCATGGTTCATTGGTCAATATTTAGTTTTCTTGGTTAAGTCTGTTTCTTAGAAACTATAAGCAATAGGTCAACTATATTTAGTGTATTGAATGATTGTAAGGTTGATAGTTGTAGTAAAGCTTTATATTTAGGACTATCAACATAATATCAATGGTTAGTAAAGAAGGCGAGACATTTCAGTGTGTGCACTCTTGTGTATAAATTAGGCCGTTGGTTTTCTCTATTGAATTGTTTTATATTTTTCATGTCAGGGCCTTTTATAGCCGGCTATAAGGTATGGGGTTTCTCACTGTAAAAGGCCTAAGGTTGCCTTTAATTGCTAACATTTACTTCATTTGAACTTTGGTGGATAGTTGTCACATTGGCAATCATACCTCATCTCCTTATTTTTATAATGAGTTCATAGAACATATTTCGTGACTTTAGTCAAATACTTTTGGAACATACAGAAACATGTTTAATTTATGATAGACACATTCTCTTGGAACAATATAAGTTATATTATATATATATATATGCAAACAACATAGATTGTGAAGCACAATACTGTATTAGATATTATATCAGAATACAGCAGCTTTTTGGTAATTAGAAGTTAAAGGCAGTTTAAAAGAAATGAAAAGACTGTTTTAGTTGAGATAATGTTCTGATTTGAAAGTGGAAAAAGTATATTTTTATTAGAATCATATGTTAATTTTCATACTGTATGATTTCTTATTTATATTTTCTATTTCTATGGTGATAATTTTCAGGAAAGTGTGTATTTCCTTTTATATTATCTTAAACTATTTTATACCTAACACATGGTCATGAAAAAGAAGCTCTTTCCCACTATAAGTTCCTATGGAAGAAATATTTTGTAATATATTTTCCACTGGAACAAACTTACGGAATAAAGGGCATATAATATTTGTTCCAACAGGAACAGATATAATGGCATTGTTTATAACAAAGTTTCCAGGAGAACTTCTGTAAGATGGAACAAATATACATTGACACCTTGCCTGTCCCAAATATTCCTTTAGAGAAACTTAGTGTTGATAACAGATCTTTGATATTCCTTTAGGGAAACTTAGTGTCGATAGCAGATCTTTGATATTCCTTTAGGGAACTTAGTGTTTAGGGAAACTTAGTGTTGATAGCAGACCTTTGATATTCCTTTAGGGAACTTAGTGTTTAGGGAAACTTAGTGTTGATAGCAGATCTTTGATATTCCTTTAGGGAAACTAGTGCTGATAGCAGATCTTTGATGTATTCAAAACTCGTTTAGACTCAGGACAATTTAGCTCTCATGCTTGACAAACTGTATAAATATCTGTCTTTAAGATATTTATGGTTGTATTTTTGAATTATAGAATCTATTTCATGATTGTATTTTCGGATTCTTTTCTTTGTTTCAGGCAAAGAAGCTGATGATTGTTTATGAGGAGAGGAAAAACCACCTGTCGGAGAATGCTAAGACCAATGATAGCAGGACATCACAGAACAGGAATATCTTTAACGAATCTGTTAACAGCATCGGAGGGTCAGATGTGGGTGTGGTAGTTGACATGGGGCCTGTTAACCCACATGATGTTTACATTGATGTCAATACTGGACATGAAGTGATGTACTCTGATAATGGTGTACCGCTCTATGAAGATGGAACTCTTCTAATAGAACCACATGATGAAAATGAATTCATGTTAACTGCAGAGGAGGAGCAGATGGCTGTTTCCATGGATACAGAAGATTTAAACAATGAATCTAGTGATAATCAGAGGTTGTGTCAGCATAAAGAGGATGACTCAGTGTTAGAGGAAGATGACAGTTTTGTTGAGAAAGATGAAATGAGATCGAAGATTATTGAACTTAGCAATCAAAAGATGGATAATAGCACAAAGGCTGATAATTTACAAGTTATACAAAAGAAAGATTCAGATAAAGATAGGAAAGGAGAGTCTAAAACGGGTCAAAGGTCAGTTCAGTCAGTGTCTAAAACAATCAAGACAGAAAAAGAGTCAGCAGAAAATGTTGGGACAAAGTTAAATTATCAAAGAAGGAATCTACGACGGAAGAAACTGAAAGTTGATCATCGTAGAATGTCACACAAGCCACTTAGTCCTCTCAATAAATTAGCCAATCGTTTTAAAAGGCCACTGAAAAGGCCTCTGTTAGCTGCTCCTGCAAGACAGCCCTTGCTAAAATCTCCTCAGAAAAAAACACTGTTGACATCTCCTCCAACAACTCCTACAGAAAATGAACCAAAACAAGGTTTTTCTGGATCAAGAGATAACATGCCCTCCACTTCAACAGGACCACATGTGATTCAAACACCTAGGATTACTCCTTTACAAAGTAGACCAAACATTCAATCTAGTCATGCCGTTGGAAGGCCAATTATCACACCAAGTGTAGCGCCTGGAGTCAGAATTGGAAACCGAGTTTTGCTCAGGAACCAGTATAGTGGAACTCCCATACAACAGGGAATACAGGTAAATACAACAAGGATGGCTATAAATAACCCGGGTGTTAGGGCTGCCTTGATAAACAGGTCTGCAGCAGTCAGTGCTGCTGGTCTACAGGCTAAATTAGCACAGCAGAGAGTGATAGCACAGACTCGACAGGGATTTACCACACAATCACAACAGTCTTATGCTGCACAGACAAGCCAAGGATATACTGCTCAGTCTCAACAGGCCTTTGCAACAGGATCACGATCTGGCTTTTCTGGGCACAGTCAGCAGAGTTTTGTTGCTCAGGCTCAACAAGGGTACGGAAGTTCATCAGGATATTCATCTCGTGTGATACAGCAGGCCCAGGTACAGAATACAACAGGCCTGATACAGAACACTGTCCAACAGACTGTTGTTGTACAACAGAATTCGGCAGGCCTACCACCAGGAAAATGGCCAGCACATACATTACTCACTGGAGATAATGTGTACAGGTCTCAGCGGTACAATCCTGTGATGAATCAGATGGCTGCTATGAGAGGGAGGAGATAAAATGCATTGGACATTAAAGAGGGGGAGGGAGAATGCATCTGCCAAGAGGGCATTGAGATATTTTTTAAAGAGCAATGTCAGCTGAGTCCACTTATCTTTTTTTCTTTCAAATTGTCAATTCTATACTGGCCATATTATTATAAAAAAATGTTTAGAATATCTGAAATATTTTAGCCAAAAATGTGCAAGTTGAATTCGTGTAAATCTATATTGAAACCATCTCATTAAGCTACTGTAAATTCAGAAATTATTGCGATGTTTTTATTATTGCGAACAATGCGACAGGGTTATAATCGCAAAAATTTCAACTCGCATTTCGAAATATTTTATATAAATTAAACAGGATTTTTCTCAATATCGCTAAAATTAAAATCGTATTTTAGTCTAAAATGGCAAAATCGCAATAATAAATGCACGCAATAATTTATGAATTCACAGTATTTGATCAGAAAATTGTTTTTTCAACCATTAGCTTCTGTAACAATAGAAGTAGTATACTGGGTGGTAGATTGAGGTGGAGCATAGAGGGAGTACCCTCTCCTTGATCAGAAAAATATCAGTTTTTGGCATAAAATTAGCTACAAAAAGAAATGGCATCTATATAGTAAGCAACCTTTTTATCATGTTTGACAATTATGCCCTCCTCCCCCTTTCCTCAATCTAACAACAAATGCACTTGCTGTTTGCAAAAAGAAAAAAAGGTTATGATAAGAGTTATATCTGATAAGATGTGATTATATTTTATATGATGATAGATATATAGTAGTGTGGGTGAATTACAGCTCATTGGAAAACTTATTTTCAACAGAAAGATTAAATAATTATAGATGACTTTATTTTGTTGTGGAGCATAGAAAGGCAGATATATTTGGACATATCTTATAGATTTTTATGTTTTTAACCCACTCCAATGCAATATTGGTTTACCTTTCAATCCATCAATCTCAGGCTCTATCCAACAGTTACAGTTACATTTTTCTCAGTAACTACATGTATTCTTGATACTGGGAAATCATTATTATTGATTGAATGCATGAATTAAATAGATATAAATTAACCTCTAATTCAGGTGTTCAAGAAAAATACAAATTTTGTACATAATTTATGAAAGCAGCACATTCAAGTACCCAGCTCTTCTTAAAAGTACAATTTGTTCACGATACATGAAAATTAGAACCCATGAAAATAAATAGATTCCCAGTACATGGATGTTTCATCCTTCATCTGGTTATCAAAACTGGTTGACAAGTTTTCAGCTCCTTTATGTTGTACTTCTGTTTGCTCAAACTCATATCTATAAAATATAATACACATTTAGTCAACAGCTATGAGCAGGTGTATAACTAGTGAGCAGTAGCTCACAGTAGATCTCGTTTGCCAATTTTTGAGCCCTTTTCCCCCACAGGGCAACTATCAGTATAAGGATGCTACACAATACATATTTCCTTAATGACTCGTGATGAATGAGCCTTTATAGCTAGTATCTATGAAAAATAGAAACAGCATCCATTCTAGTCTCAAAAGTCGTTAGGTCTGACCATTATAATAGTTACTGTTTATATTGAGAATCAGCCTAGTACCATATGGAATGATATGACATGTAAACTTTGACCTTTATAATAGTTACAGGTCACATTGATTACCATTTTTATATCATATATGTGTGGTATTACCTTAGACCGCCTTTGTGGTTTTTAAGTTTTGATGTATAATTTTTTATGTGAACCTTATGAAGTTATTTCAGAAACATGTTTACACAGGGTAATTATATATTTTTTTTAATTTTTTTTTTTTGGGGGGGGGGGGTGGGATTGTAGATCAGAAGCTATAATGTACATGTTGAATACAAAACAAAACATTCTATCAAGAGAACTTTTCACAATTTGAAACAGTCATATTTTTTTTTAAATGTATTCACGGACGGCTTGGTTGCACAAAGGCTATTTAAATTTGAATGATGTTTAAATTTCAAGTTGGTTATTAATAAAGTTGTTGAATATTTTCATATTTAATTGACACTTAAAATTTAAACATTCCATAATTTAATTGATGTTGGTGCAACCCAGTCTAGACATTTAAAATGTATGACTATTATTGTTGTGAATAAATTGCTAACCAGGAAACAAATGTAACAGATTTATTTGAATATAAACAATGAACATAGATTATTTGCATGATTATAAACATCCAATTTATTTATTTTTTATGTCAAATAATTACCGTATGTAAGAGGTGTATATATATAATTTGATCTATTTATTATGAGCTTTGTATGATATGATTTAATCACTATTCAGTTAATATATCCAGGGGCGGATTTCAAGGGGGGTGCCCATGTCACGAAATAGAAATTCCTTCATAATATTAGTTCCGAATGGAAAAAATATTCTGGAATATTATTTCCACTGGAATAAATATTACAGTATATGTTCCTAGCGGAATAAATGGTATAGAATATTTGTTCCAACAGGAACAGATATTATGACATTGTTTATAACAAAGTTTCCAGTGGCGGAACAAATATATGTTGACACCTGGGACCCCCTTATGGAGCTTTATTTATGGCTAATCAAGACTTTTACCGCTTCCACAACAAATTTTGTCTAGTTTGGGGGCTCACATGCCTCCCTTTTCAAAATCATGGATCTGCATCTGATATTAGCTGGTCAAATAACTTTTGTCACAATTCTGCCTCTAAGAATAACTGATTTGTTGAACCATAATCTTTTATGCTAATGTGATCAAATGGAAAAATAGATAAAAAATTATCTTTTCCCCTGCTTGACCTTTTAAAAATTGATCTGGGAAACCGAAGATTCTTATGAAGGTACATTACAATGTATCATTAGTGACATAAAATACACAGTGAACAGTTATGCTGTTAAAATACACATATCAACATGAAATACACAATGAACTGTAATGATGTTAAAATACACATATCAAAACTTTGTTCATTTCCAGAGAGGGATCTGTTATTTGAAAATTGAATGCCTCTTTTTATAATTTTATTTGGGTGTAAAGCGTTGACAGACTCACATTTTGTATGAAGCGCGGAAATGCATCATATTAAAAATGTGTGCCTAGATCAATGCTTTTATACCCCTATAAAATTATAAAAAGACACATTCAATTCTTATAATTACATTTATATGCTAAAACCATGAAATTAAGGGTTAAATCAAGCTTTTCATTTGTTTTTTTTCAATGCATTATTTTAAAATATCTCCCAGATAGCAAGTACAGTCATAGCTGTTATATTTTATTCAGAAATAATATATGATAATGGAGTTCCATCGCAATTGTTGGCAGCTAATCAAAATTACTGATGCTAATGAAACACACATGTAATTTAATTATAGTTCTTTACTATCCAAAGTCATTTAAATAGAACTGTAATAAAAGTGATCACAAGTTATTCTCAATTGCTTTGGACTTTTTATTATTTTTTTCCCTTTTAAGATTTTTGTCTTGCAGAGTCATTTTTATGGATGAGCAAGGTTAGTTGTGGGAAAATGGTCTAATTTTTTTTCCACTTTGCACAGTCTGAGCCAGTATTTTTTATTTTTGTGATTTTGTTTTATTTGGTTACACAGCACCATGTTGTATTTGTACACCAGTAAGAGTTCATTATCTGATCTAATAACTAGATAGTTAGTCTGTACACATTTGAGATAGGAGCATTTTAACATGGAGATTAGAAAAGTCTCATCATGGGACATTTTTTTAGGCATTTACCTAGTCTTTCTCAAAAGAGAATTAAACAAAAATAGTGGATTTAACATATTTCCAGTGAAAATATTCTACCATCTTTCTATTTTTCTAAGTTTTTTATGCTTTATTGTCTTATCAATTTTTAAATTACATTTGTTTTCAAAATTTGTTCAAGTTCCAAATCCTGTAATATACAGAATTTATTTTTATGTATCAATACCTATTTTAAGATATTTTTAACACGATCTTAACTATCAGTTAGATTTTTTTAAATAGATAGAGTAAAATATTGTTATCTGATTGTATAATATGAAAATAGGGGGCCTCGGTGGCCGAGTGGTCTAAGTAGTTACTACTGTAATCACTAGCCAGTCAACACTGAGGTTGTGAGTTCGAACCCCGCTCGTGCGGGTGCACTCGACTCAATCTTAATTGACTGGGATTGTCGGTTTTCCTATCGAAGGTATGTGGTTTTCTCGGGGCAATCCAGCTTCCTCCACCAATAAATACTGGCAGCCACGAAATAGCCCAAAAGCGGTGCTTTAAAGTGGTGTTAAACATCAAAAATCAAATATGAAAATAACTCTATGCTGTAAGAGAAGTAACTCTTACTGTACCAAATTACAAAAAATATAATAGAGTTTAATAATTGTATAAAGTTTATTTTGTTTGACTATGAAACTCCAAACTTAGTTCATATTTTTTTATTATTGTAATTTTTTAGATACTACATAGCAAGAAAATTGTAGGCAATTGTGCAACTTTATAAATTTAGGGTCAAATAGAATGATTTTAGCAAAAGGTCAGACAAAAAACGAATCTACCCTCCCAAAATCAACTTATTACTCAAATAAGTTTGATATAAGTATTTGTTGTAGAAGTATTTTATAAATATTGTTTTTGATACATGTATTATTTGTTGCAGATATTGAGAAATGTGTTAATGTAAACATACTGATTTGTCACATATGTTTATTATTTTCTAGAAATAAAAAACCTACCCTAAATATATTAACTTATTGCTGCCCTTCAATCTTATCTTCTTTCTTTTTTTATACGCCTGTTTACGGTACGTATTTTGGTATACCGTTTGTCTGTCTGTCTGTCAGTCCATCAGTCCAATGTCAACATGTCGGACAATAACTCAAAAACTCTTTAACCAATTTGCATGAAACTTTGATGAATTGTTTGTATCTATTGATGTGAGCTCCCTTTCGATTTTTATAAATTTTAGATTTTAGGTTTCCCAGTTATGGGGTTTTGTTCATTAAAAATGGGGGATTTTCCAGTTTTTGGATAATAACTCAAAAATGCTTTGAGCAGTTTTCATGAAACTTTGGTGAATGTTTATATCTATTGACATGAGCTCCCTTTTGATTTTTATAAATTTTAGATTTTATGTTTCTGAGTTATAGGGTTTTATTCTTTAAAAAAGGGGGATTTTCCAGTTTTCAGACTTTAACTCAAAATTTCTTTGAGCAGTTTTCATGAAACTTTGCTGACTGGTTTATATCTATAAAAATAACCTCCCTTTAGTTTTTTTATAAATTTCTGATATGACATTAAGGAGTTGTGGAACTTTATTCTTGTTAAAGCGACGGGTGTATCATGCTCTCCTGGTGCAGCTCTTTCTTCTTTTCTTGTTTTTTTGCATGTTTTTTGTTTTGTATTAAAAAATGGTTTAGTTAGCTAGCTACAAAACCAGGTTTAACTCACCATTTTCTTTGGTATTGTCTGTACCAAGTCAGGAATATGACTGTTATTTTCCAGTTATTCTGTTGGTTGATATAGTCCAGCATTTGTTTTTGTCAGTTTTTATGGACCTCCCCTTCTTGAAATGACCTTGGAGTTCTGTAATTGTTTTGTTAAGTTTTTTTGGGTGTCCATATGGTTTTGATGTAAAAAAAAATATTTAAAGATTTCACTGGTTGACAGATATTATTGGTATGCTTCCACAAAGTCACAACTTTATATAAAATATGTTTTAGTGGATTAGTTTAAAACATTGGTGTATAATTTTGTCTTGGATGGTTATTTTTACATCGCGATGACCGCGAGGTCATTTCGATGTATTGCTATCGCCTAAATATCCATTATGCAAATTAGTTTTGGGTTTTCAACCGATCTATAAAAATTATAGATCCGCGGTCACTTATCTAGTGCAAAATAACATTACTTATCGCTTGTTTCAAATTCATTTTTTCAATGGATACTATAAATATTTTTATTAAAACACAAATTAATAATATGAAAATGTGTTGTCGTTAGTTATATATATAAAAGTAAAAAATCATTGATGATATAAATGCACACGTACCGAAAAATTGTGTTAAAGCTTACGGAAGAATATCTCAAGAACGTTTTGCGACACTCCCGGCAAGGACCGATAACTCTGTTATTGTTTTGCGGGAAAATATGAATGGCTTCTCATATCCAATCTTTTAGAAAAATCGATTTTTTACAGAAGAGTGTCCACCCTGCACTTGCACTGCACTATAATTAGAATAGTAGAATAGAATGATATATAAATAGATGAAAATTATATATACATGCAACCGTAATATTAATATAATATATAACAACAAACCAGACGTGTATACTCTGACACTATTATCATATTAGTATAATAGTCCCAGGTATACTGATTTGTATCACTACAATATAATAGTTATTACGGTGCGGTTGAATTTCCTGTCATTTATTCATCATCCATGCACGAACTTGTATCAGAAAAAAATATATCTCTGTAAATTAACCTCAGTTTCAGGTATAGAGATGTGATCTATTTCTGTGACATGTGCTTTTGACCATCCACAAGAACCTGCGGTCATCCGATGTTCAGTACTTTGATTTATTTGTAAGTGGCAGGAAACAGACTACAAATTTAAATTGTCCATTCCTCCTTGACAATTTTCACATATTTTTTTTTTATTTTTGCAAAGGCATATCTGTCTTTTCTTATTATAAGGAAAGGTTGTTTTATCGTTTCTATGGTTTTTGTAGAAAAAAGCATTTTGAACTTTTGTTGGTATTGTTATCTTCTTTTCTGGTTTTAACATCAAAAGATATTTTAAGTTTTTACATGTTGTATCTAGACATGACAGTGAACTTATACCTCTACACACAGCCATTCCGTCCTAACTGACAGCTGAAATCAAGATACCAAGCTGACAAGTTGCTTGAAAGAAAGATTTTGCCCACTGGTCCCATGAGGGTTTTGACACTGGCTCCTCAGAAGCAATTTCTCTATCCTCCATTATGCCAAAAACTTTGCTTTCCTATTAAGATGTCTTTATGTATCCTGGTAGAGGGATTTGACTTCGAGCACTGACTTTTAAAATATCTAAGGAAGTATGTGTCTTTATTAAAGCAAGCAAAAGGCAACAAGGGACGAACAATGTTGATTATCAACTGACAATTTAATAGACTCTGTAATTGATAGGTAAACATAAAAGTAGATATTTTCAATTCATAATTTAACATAAATATAGAAAAAATAGGCCAAAAATGTCATTGAAGTCTATTTCCAGCCAATTACATAAAAGTCAGTCAATGTGAAGGGAGCAAGCGCAAAAACACAAAAGTACACGATAGTATGGGGTAAAAACAACAATTAACTTTTAACTTTTAAAGAGGATACTTCAAAGTAAAATTGGAGAAGGGTAATTATATAAATGTATGGTGAAGTAAGACTGCTGGTGTGTACTGTTCCAAAACATTAGGAATTGTGCTTAACTAGACTAAACCTTAATTTGACATGTCTACTTCGTGCTTTGCCCTGGACGGACTATACCTTAATTTGACATGTTGTGTCTACCTCGTGCTTTTCCAAGAACTTCCCAGAACAGACTATACTTTAATTAGGCATATCTACCCCGTGCTTTAACAAGGACAGACTATACCTTAATTTGACATGTCTACCCCGTGCTTTGGCAAGGACAGACTATACCTTAATTTGACATGTCTACCTCGTGTTTTGCCCAGGACATGCTATACCTTAATTTGACTTTTCACGTCTACTTCGTGCTTTTCCCAGGACAGACTATAAAATTGAGAATGGAAATGGGGAATATGTCAAAGAGACAACAACCCAACCAAAGAGCAGACAACAGCCGAAGGCCACCAATGGGTCTTCAATGCAGCGAGAAAATCCCGCACCCGGAGGTGGTCCTCAGCTGGCTCCTAAATAAAATTGTGTGCTAGTTCAGTGAAAATGGACGTCACACTAAACTCCAAAACATATAAATGAACTAAAATTAAAAAAAACATACAAGACTAACAAAGGCCAGAGGCTCCTGACTTGCGAAAGGCGCAAAAATGCGGCGGGGTTAAACATATTTTGTGAGATCTCAACCCTCCCCCTATACCTCTAGTCAATGTAGAAAAAAGAAACACAGAGCAATACGCACAGTAAAACTCAGTTTAAAAGAAGTCCGAGTCCGATGTCAGAATAGGTAACAAAAGAAACTAAGCAAAATGACAATGATACATAAATGAACAAAGGACTACTAGCAGTTACTTACATGCCAGCTCCAAACCTCAATTAAACTGATAGAAAGATTATGTCTTCATCATATGAAAATCAAGTACAATCCCTCCCGTTAGGGGTTTAGTATCATACCATCATAAAATATATACCTTAATTTGACATCTGTACCTCGTGCTTCGCCTAGGAACGACTATACCTTAATTTGACATGTCTACCTTATGCCTTGCCCAGGACAAACTTTACCCGAATTTGTGACATGTCTACTCGTGGTTGGCCCAGGACAGACTATACTTTAATTTGACATAAAATTGAGAATGGAAATGGGGAATATGGCTAAGAGACAACAACCCGACCAAAGAGCAGATAACAGCCGAAGGCCACCAATTTGTCTTCAACGCAGCGAGAAAATCCCGCACCCGGAGGTGGGCCTCATCTGGCCCCTAAATAAAAATATGTACTAGTTCAGTGAAAATGGACGTCATATGCATGTCTATCTTATGCTTTACCCCGGACAAACTACATATTTGACATGTCTTCCCCATGGTTTGCCCAGAACAGATCTAGACTATACCTTAATTTGACGTGTCTACTTCGTGCTTTGCCGAGGACAGACTATACTTTAACTTGACATGCCCATCTCATGCTTTACCCGGTAAAGACTATACCTTTATTTGGTATGTCTACCTCGTAATTAGCCGAAGACAGACTATACCTTTATTTGGTATGTCTACCTCGTAATTAGCCGAAGACAGACTAAACCTTAATTTAGGAAGATCACTCAAAACAAGATAAAAATAGTTTGTTTTCACAATTTAGTTACATCAGTTATTTAGACTCACTTAGATATGTGAGTTCGATGCATTGAGAGTTCATTTTAACCTACGTTTTGGCCAAGTTATATTTATTCTCTGCTCAAATTATTGGTGTATTAAGACAACCTTTTTTTAGTCATGTCTTAAAACATGATGCCCTTCATACACCAATTGAACAATCGTTTATCTTAACTTATATATATATTGACAATAAATTAGCAAATAATAGGAAAATATGGACTATAGTTTAAGGAGACCACACAAAAAGCCATCTTTAACAATATACAATAAAAAATACGGAGATGTGGTATGATTGCCCATGAAACAACTATCCACCAAAGTTCAAATGAAGTGGATGTAAGCAATTATAGGCAACCGTACGGTCTTCAACAATGAGAAAAACTCATACCGCATAGTCGGCTATAAAAGGGCCCGATACAAAAAATGTGAAACAATATAATAAAGAATAATACTAATCTATAAATAACATCAGATCGATAAAAGAATCATCCTGTATCTAAGACCAAAAAATAAATCAGTAGTCATCCAGCATCTTATGGATTTAGTATAAAGACGTAATTAATATTCAGACTGAAAAACACGATATTGTGCAATGTCAAAATATAAGTATCGACATATCGTAGTACGGTGGATATTTTTCTGACTTTTTACTGACTCTTTCATTTTTGAAAATCCTTAATCTGCC